AAAAGTTGATAATTTTTCATATTTTCATTGATTATGTCATTAATTATAATTAAAGATTTCTAGAGTACGAAAAAATAGCAAAACTAATTGTTAATTAATATACAAATTTAGAAAAAAATTATTATTCAATTCACAAATTAATTAACTTGTTTTTAAAAAAATAAATGAGTTTTATTTTATATATTGTTACATATATTTATATATACAGTCTATACTGTATAATTCAAATTATTATATATTTAGTTTAGTTAATTACATTTGATAGCTATCTACATAAGTCTGGCAATAAATTATTTTTCCGACAGATATAAATTATTATTATTATTCATAGTAATAATGAAAATACAGCAATAATGTTGTTTCTATGCAAATGTTTGCAGGAATTTAAATACTATTTACATTTTACTGCAAATAAATAGATAAATTTTAGTAATAATAGTTATATTCAAACTATTCAAAGCTTTTAAAAACTTTTAATTTTATTTCAATATTACATATATTAGTTTAAATATCATATATACCGTATATATATCGTCATCACATGGCTTTAGGAGAGGAAAAGTGTTTAACTTTTTTATTATACCAATTGAGCCAATGATAAGTACAAACCATTTATATAATATTCACTGTTAGACATATAACACACATTTGCTATCATCTCTTTATATAATAATAACGAGTGATACGATACATACGCGTGTGTTTGTCTACTTTACTTTTCCACAGTATATACAATATATGTTTCCTACTGTATATTAAAGTGTTAGTCCCAGTGCTACAAGAGTTAAGGGATGTATTACTGTAGAAGCAGCAGCACTGGTATCCAAAAAAAAAGACTTGACTCTCAAACATATACACAGACATTCATACAATCATCATCTCTCTCCAGGGATTAAAATATAGCCGACAAATATTTATTGCAAAACACAAAAGTGCTTTCAAAGGCAGCCAAGTGTTGTGAAGTGTAGGTCTGAGCCCTTCAGTATAATAGCACCGGAGCATTGAATTATTAACACATGAAAATAAAAAATATGTGTTGTTTGAGAAAAATATTAGACAATTGAATGGAAGGATTAGAGATTAGAGATAACTTTCCTTTATTTAATATCATAGCATTACTTTTCTCATCACACAATAGTGTGGTATTAAATCACAAAAAGGATTTTTTTTGCTTTGATTAATACCAAAGAGTTAGGATTCAGCAAAAAATAGATGAGAAAAAACATATACAAAATATTTGTTACAAATTCATAGATAATTTACAGTCAATTGTTGGCAATTTATTATCCATTTTTATCAGATTTTTATTTTTCTCATTAAATCTCTGTCCCAATCCTTACATACAGTTATGTGTCTTAAATGTCATAGTGTTTAGCATAGGACTGGTCGGCACAATAGCCGAGTCGTTTCGGGCGCTAAACATCTACTCATGTTTGGTCATAATATTTCCGTTCGGTTTACTATTAATTCAGATGACTATCCGTATCAGCCGAAAGTCGTTCGACTCCATTGACCAGCTGTTGGTCGGTTCTTTGGTAATACTATTTATGCAGATAATTGTGGCCTATCTACTGGCCCGTGAAATTAGACAATTGACAATTTTGAATCGGGGTATTAACTATAAAATGTGTGAGCACTTGGAGGATGGCAGTGATGTCCAACTGTGCGATTCTGTACAGCAACAGCCCACATATGAGGAGTTCATACCAATGGAGAACACATAGACTTTTAGGGACTAACTTATTATATCTATTGGCATACGATGATGGCATCTGTGTTTGATGGGTATTTAACTGAGGGTCGGCCTATAAGTGTGAAGATAATTGGGTGGACACAACCAAAAGACATTATATGAGTGCTGAGAGATTGTGTGATAAGTGTATTGAAGTGTTGGCTAACATCACACACACATACACACAGTACTCACGTATTTGGTTAATATATACTATATCTATACTAGAGTTTATATCACGGGTATGAGTGAGGCCAATAAAAAAAACTCCCTGTCCTTATATCATACAAAAATACACACAAATTCTGTACATTCACTTACACACTCTATGTAACAATCGATAGCTCGATAAAGACATTTATCTATAAGAAACTAATGATTTATCACTAGAGAGATGAAGTGATGACAATTTTTTGATTACTTGTTTATATCTTTATTTACTATATATGTCTATATCTTTGTCTCTTTATCTATCAAACACACACATACAAATACACACACACACATATATATATATATATACACACACATAWACACATACACTTCCAACTTATATATCTTTATAACTCATATTTTTTAAGTTAATATCTGTATAAATATCTATWTCTTTATATATATATATATATATAATGACAACTAATATAAGTAGTTTTTATCTGTATTATATTATCTATGGTCTAAAATTTTTTCACCGAAACTTTTTTTTTGATAATACTTATTATTAGAAAAAATAAGTCAAAAAAAAGTATGAGAAATCTATTACATAGAATGATATGAAATGAATCGAAATTTTTTATTATGATTTTTACTATTATTATTATTTGTATTATTGGTAGGAGTAGTATCACAGTAGTAGAATTGGTAGTATACTGTATAATACAACAGTAGACGTATAGTTGATATTATCGTCTAACATATTGATTGATGATTAATGACTGGCATTTTTCTGCTAAATTGCATCAAAAAACAACTTTTACACCGAAAAGCGCTTTAAATGCCTAAACACTTTCATTTATATTTAAATTACAGCACTATTTTCATTATCTATAGTTAACAACAAAAATATTAACTTTTGCTTAACTTTTTTTCTTATTTTATTTTGTTGAGCTAAATAATATATATTTGTAGAGCCAATGATTTATTGGTTACTTTAAGCTTTATATTTCTCGCCACAATTTATTGAGATTTATATGTTTAAGGTTTTTATACAATTTATAATATTAACACAAAAAGATATAAGCATATTATAAGAAAAATAATATGTATATTTAAATAGAAACTAAAAAAATTATTTAATAAAAGCTACTTATATTTTAATATTTTTAAAAATAAATGCTCATAAATATAATATCATTTTAATTATTAGATAAAAATTTTAATTTACTTTTTTTTAATTGTTTACTTAAATATTTTTCAATTTATTTTATTATATTCTTTGTTTTTGTAATAACAAATTAAATTAATGGTTACATGGATTATATATATATATATTAGAATTAAATTTTATTACAAAAATAAAGTTTTTACTAATGTTACAATTGATTTTTAAAATTTTAACCAAAATATACATGATATTGGTTTTTATATAAAATGTACCTTATATTCAACATAATAGAAATATCTATTTATTTAATGTCGAAATGTATGTATTGACTCCAAAGTTACATTATGTACATAAATTGTGAAGTATTATATAAATATCGTACTATATAAGTGAAAAAATCCAAATTTGTATATAAGATTATAGTTAGGAATAGGAATTGAATTTACAATAAACATATACAGAATATTCTTGAGTCTAATATTACATATTTTTATGGTTCACATAAATGAGACAAAAAATATATCCATTATATACATATATAATATACAGTAAATTTATATATTGTAACATAACATTTGTTTATGCAATTGGATTTTGTATTATTATAAACATTATGTATTTATAAAAATTGTTTTAGTTGTTATTGTAAAATGTATAATATAACTTGTGTATAAATGTTTAAAACTTTTAAATTGTTTGTGACATTAATTGACAAAACTATTTATTTAAATGTTACGCACGTTTGTTAAATTTATTATTTTACACTGTGATGTATGTATATATTTATAGATATATAACTATATATTTTTATTATATTTGTATAATGCAGTATATTGTTAGATTTTGCTGTAAACATATAGTAAAAATAATTAAATTAAAATGTTATTATAATAAAATAATCTATCTGAAAAAATAAATAAAATATTAAAATTAATTTTACAAATGTATCAATTAGTATAAATTTATATAAATTAAACAAATTAACATCATTATGAGTTTAACATAAATATGAACAACTATAAAATATTTTTTATTAAAATTAATAATTGTTAAATTTAAGATAAACAGAAAATAATAATAATAATAATAAATAACAAACAATAGATATAAGAAACATATTAATTATTTTATGAATAATATAAAAATATATTATTGCAAAAAATGATAATTGTTTAAAACATTCCATAATTAATATAATCATTATTAAGCAAAATATATATACATTTTAGTATATGATATTTTACTCTATAATTCAAATAAATTTAATTAAATTGATTTGACAAAATATTTATCGACAAAAAATCTATTGATGAATTACATCCATTTTACAGTACATTTAGTTTTTAGTTTAATTATATGAAACATTTACTCAAAAGTAATACAAGAGTTATCATTTTTATTGTTTTTATATTAACATTCAATTACCAAAGTATTACTTTATAATTTTTTAATGATTACAACAGAAACGATAAAATTTAATATATTATAATAATATAATAATAATAATATATAAAATCTATATATTTACTGTATATATTAAAATGTATTATTTATACTTAAATCCAAATCTGATCTATCAATTAATGATTAATATTGCAATATTATTATCATATCTTCATGTCATGATTATAATTTATTATCGCAATAACATTTCATATATAATTTTAATTGTCATATATGTACAGTATATTCTATGTATATGAATTTCTATTTAATATTTTCTATCTTATTTTGTTTGCAGTAAATAATTATAATAATTTTAGGAATGTTGTATAAAAATTAATTTTATTATAACAGAAATATAGTGACTATTTGAACACAAAAAACAAATATAATAGATAAAACATTATTATTATTATTATATATTGTATATTAATAAATTAAACAAATAAAATATTAGTACTTAAACAGAAAAAAATAAAACATTTGTTAAAATCAATTTATATATATATWTATATTTAAAATCCGATCATTAATGCGACCATTAAAAATGCAAATAAGTTGATCAACATTTGAGAGCATATATGGACAGTTGGGGCCGAATTTTGTTTGGTAGTCGTCTCATTRGAGGCCGGACTTTCCGTCGGGATGATAGTGTCGGTAGTGCTATTGTTGGCCGATGTGGTCACGGAAGTGGCATTACTAATGTTGGTTGTGGTGCTGTTGGTAATGGCGCTGATAATGGTAGTGGTGTTGACTGTGTTGACAGTGTCCGTCTCATTAGTCATAGGATATAATGTCGTCCATTCTGGTGGTGCCGTAAATCCGTTACTTCCAAACACTAATTAATTATTTTAATTTTAAAAATTATAAACAAAAATATTTAATTACAAAATTAATATAAATTACTTACTATCAATATTTTGTGCCGAAATGCAYACAACAGTTAATGAAAAAGCAAATACAATAGAGGACAACATTTTATTCATAATATCGATGATAATAATGATATGCAAATAATGACCAGAAAAATATAATTTTTTTAATTAAAAATATTTTTGTACTCAAATTTACTATTGATAGACAATGTTTTGCTTTCAACGACTATTTTGTAACTAATTATAAAATATGTAAAATATCAATGTTGTCTAGCAAAAAAAAAAATAGAGGGACAAACCAATTGTTTAAATAATCATTATATTAATAACTTTTAACAAATATATTAGATTAGATATGACAAACAGTCCGGTATATTATAGGGATAGTTTGTATGACACACACAAACGAGATAATAAAATGTTAGTCATATATAAATAATTTAATAGATTTTATGTTTATAACACTTAAGTACAGTATAGTAAGGCACACACAAACAGTAAGATTATTATTATTATTCAACGCTAAAAGTTTGTCCTGTTTTTATTAAAGTTTATACAGTATTTAACTGCGGTATTATATTAAACTTTAAGTATACAAAATATCAATATGTTATATATACAATAGTAGATGGATATAAAATTTTGTGTATTTTTCTCACACACACTGTGCAAATGATCCGGTTTATAAGTGATATATTAATATGTTGTAACTTTTATTTTATTTAGCAATATATATATATATATATGAGCAATGAGTTTGTAGAAAAAAATAAAACTATTAAATTAAAAGCCAATAGAGTATTAGATGCCAGCATTATATTTAACACAAGAATATTCTCTGTAATAGTTTGTTTTAATTTACTTCTACATTGAATCTATCGTTGTGTTACTGTAATAGTAGTAGTAATAATAATAGGTTATTATTATTATTATTATTAGTTAATAATATGATCAATTGTTATTAATGAATCATATATTTTTTTGGTTATACACAACATTTCAATGGCATTGGCAAACTTTAATATTCAATTATTAATTACTCATTTGTTTGCTTAATCATAATTAATGCATAAACGCATTGCTTGCTCAACAACTTTACTATAAATTAACTATTAAATACAGTATATAATAAAAATATGTTTTATTTTACATACTTATACGGTAAATACATGTGAATGTAGATATTAAATTGACTATGGTGTATTAATTATGATTGATATTTTATTACTTTTAGTTTTATAAGGTATTTAGTTTCAATTATGAAAAAATATTTTACAATATTAATTTTACAGTAAATAAAAATGAATTGTATTTTCTAAAAATAAAAATAATTTATCTAAATAGCAAATAGTTTTTAATTTTTAAAATTAACAGATGAAAATTATAGATAATRATATAATTATTATTATTATWTTGTAAACTATCTAATGTTAATGTTAATTATTTTAAGTGTTAACATTAAAGTTTCTATTATAATAAATAATTTGTTTGATTACATGAATGTTAAGAAATTGATTAACTCATGATTTTTTATATACTAAGTAAAAATAGTATAACAATTAATATATTAATAATGTTTTTTATAGTAAATATTTAAATAATAGTTTTGCTTATACCTAAAATTATTTGAATATATTATGTTAAAAATACCGTATAGTATATACTCTAGTGTAGATTATTAATTTCTCAATTTTTAACATAAATTTTAAAAATATAGTATACTATACATTACAAATACCGTATAATACAAATATTATGTTTACAAATTTTATTAAAAGTTTTTAATTAAATATTTAATAATATATAATATATAAATACTATAGTTATAGTATAAATTTGAAATTGCTTAAAATTATCTCAAATTTATGTTGACAATAGATTTGATATTTTATTTTTATTAATTTCTATTAAAATAAATAATATAATATTTTTATTGTTGAATTAATCAATTTCAAAATAAATAAGTAATTTCTTATAAAATGTCAAATAAGCATAATTTTTATTTTATATAAATAAGAAACTAAAAACAAGTGATTGCATTATTCGTAGAAATTTATTAATTGAAAATATAAAATACCGTAAAGTATTTTTTTAATATTAAACAATTGATCTTATTTATGATTATAATTATTTAAAATACAGAACAAACTCTTATCTATTGATTTATATATTTACTAATTAAGATTTTATAACATATTTCTATCACCAAAATTATTATCGACACAATATATATAATAAATAGCAAATARAAAATTGATTTGAATTTTGACAAATCAATTGCTGAAATATCATATTTTTTAGCCGATATATCATCAATAAGACCTGCTTTTAGGGCATAATTGTTGGTTATTGTAGTATTGATAATCCATTTGTCCAAAATACCACTTTCGGTTAATCTAGAAATTCTATTATTATAATATAAAGTCAAATATTTATTATAATAATTAGTTAAACTAAATAGATTAAAATAAGTTAAACAAAATTAAAAATATCAATACATACACAACATTTATCATGAAATTAACAATTGGTTTGTTGTTTTTGGACAGTGGCAGAAAAAATGGCATTATAAACTCATTTGACCTGGATCGATGCAAATTAGTATAGTTGACAAGTTTAGTATTATAGTAATAGTCGATAAACGGTTGGTCACTGACCAGTGCGTAAACACCGTTATTGATGCCATCAAATGTTAGTCTTTCCCAATTTTCTTTACCTGAATTGATCCACTTTTCTGTTTGACATCTATTCTGAAACATATGATAATACTGACCACTCGGATCTTTAATATATTCCAGTGATAATTCGTCTTCAAATATACCAAACAGTATATCACTGTTGGCTAAGTCATCAATGGTGTCGATAACCGAATATTTTTGATAAAAAAACAAATAAGTCAACAGATATGTCGAATAGTTAATTGCAATTATCATTGAACCCAATGTCCAGATTAACATAAGACATGATTGTTTTGAATATTTTTTCAGATATTGTGATGACTGACCAAATACTTGACTAAAATATGTTATAAATATTTTATCGTTTGGCTTAATCTTATAAGTAATGATTGAAATGATTGCAAATAAGCTAATATAAACAAACCAACAATTATTGTCTAATATAAGAAGCAAATGTAATAATGATTCTATCGGTTGTTTAGCCGATAATATGCTTAGCAATGGAATTGAACTAATAGATTGTGATAACTGTGCAAATTGTTGACCATTTTCAAGATATCCTGTTATAGGTGTCATTGGTATTAATGCCAAATGAATTTGATTATTATTAAACAACTGATAATGTTGATCCAGATTTTCAAAATTACTTATTACATATAACAAACTAAGTTATTATACATATATAAAACTAATCAATCATTTTGTTTACATAATATTATATATTGTTTTTATATACTTAGCATTTAATTTGTTGGCCATTTCGTAGGCCATTCCCAGAAATGGACCGCAAATTTGTTGTGAACCAGAATCTTGATTAACATCAATGAATGGCTGCCAAAATTCAGCCGAAAACTTGAGATTAAAATCTCGCTTATAATTAACCAATGATTTTGGTATTTTTGGATCAAATACACTACAAAATTTGTCTATCATTTTTATAAATTTTAGAAAATAAAATTATACTTCTATTATAATAGATTTCAATAACTTAAATACTAGTATAAAATCAATAATACTGCATAATTATTAAATATTCTAATATTTATTTATTRAAAGAAATAATATAATAATTATAAAATGTTAAATATTTTWTTAATATATTTATAATAATTGAATAGAAAAAGATTTTAATTAATTTTCTTATATCAATWTATATGTATTAAGTCAGGGTTAAGCAAGGTTTTGGATTTTAATAAAATTTGCAAAATTCTCGAAAAATCTTGGGGGGGGTATTGGGTGGGGTAAGATTTTTATTGCATTTTTAAACGGCAATTTTTTCAAAAATCCAAAATCAAGGGGGGGGGGGGGGGGTCAAGAGAAAATTCCCTAAAAATTCCTTAAGTTCCCGAATATTCCCATGTAAATTCGATAAAATTCCCATAAGTTCCCGTATAAATTCCCAGGAAAATAGGTAAAATTTCCAAAAATATATAAAAAACTTAAAAATTAACAAAAACTTAAATTTTAACAAAAAAATAAATATTTTTTGAAAAAAAATTAAAAAATTAATAAAAACTAAAATTTTTACAAAAAAGTTATTTTTGATTTTAAAATATTTGATAAAAGCATTTATGATACACAATGAGTATTTTTTGTATTTTAATAATTTTTAACTTTTAACAATTAATTTTTTAAATAATACTTAATGTTTATAGTTTATTATATATTTTTATTTTTAATACAAATACTGACTGAATACTACTTATTTAACTCAATTTTCGTTAAAGTTTTAGTTATATTAAGTATAAAATTGAAAATATTTTTAAATTTAAATTTAAAAATTATTAATAAAAAACTTATAATATAAGTATTTATTGTTTTATTAACTTCTAAACTATCTTAAACTTATATTTAAATTGTAATATGATTACTCTTTTCAATAAATAGGTAATTTTTAATTTTTTAGATTATTTTAATTAAAATAATGTTATTTTTGGATGAGTTTTAACGTTATTTTAACTATTTTTAATCAATAATTAGATTCTTATAATTATTAAAAACATAAAAACACTTAATAAAATAGTATCATAAAATTAAAATTTTTATAAATCTCAAAAAAATTTTCGTACGGCGCCGAAATTTTAGGGGGGGGGGGTCATTTCTCATAAGCGACAATTTTTCCAATAAAAAGTCAATCCAAATTTCTCGAGCTTAATACCTTATAGTTAAGTATAAAGTAAATGTATCATTAAAATAAATAGTAATATAWAATTTRGTTTTTATTTTAATGTATTATATTMTACAATATTAATACATAGTTCAATATTAACTACRGTATTAAATGACATTTACACTACTATTTAATTTGAATGTTTAATATATTATATTATGTTTTCTTTAGAACATTAAATAATGTTTTTTATTTATTTATTTAGTACTAAGATATATATATATATAGTAGTTTAAATAATACATATAATAATAAGTTAGAGAAATAGAAAACTATTTTAAACAACAAAAACAATTTCGATCCCCAATTGAAGACATCCCCTATCGAGTCCAACATTACAGAGTCTACTGTAATACAGACAGTATTTTTCCACACCCTTAGGTTGTTTGTTGAATGAGATTGTTTGGGTCAGTCATATTTTATGACCGGCTCATCATATTAGGCAAGACATGGTTTAATCTCATGAAATAATACAAATAAGTTACACTTTTAGGCATTAGGAATTGAGCATGGTGTTTATAAATTATAACTTAGCAATCATTGGTGTTAAACAATAATTTACATATACTTTAGACTTAAAATACCAACAACAACAACAAAATAAATAATATTTTATATACAGTAAATCAATTGTAATTAATATACAGTATTAATAAACTAATAAAAATATATGTTTAGAAATCATTTGAATTTTATGAATAAAACTTTTCTTATGTTGTTTTTAAATAATAAAATTATATTATTTAAATACAATGCAATCTTTTTAACTATTTATATTTTGTCAGACTTTTAAATAAAATCAGATAAAAAAAATTGTCTGCAAATTAAAAAAACTTGTTTAACAACTTTCATTATGTTAGCACTCGGATAAACACATAATTACTGCGGTATTATTGCCCGCGGCTTAACAGCCTTTAAGATCATGTGCACGTGCTTTACGCGTGAAATAACATACAAAAATTGGTTAACCTAGACACTATTGTTTATTTATTTTTTATAAAATGTTTTAACATGAGAAAAATCAGCTAAAATATTAAAAAATAATGTTAATTGTTATTTAAATTGATTTTTTTAATTTTAAAGTAATAAATTAGTAAATATTATATAATATTTTTTATTCATGATATATTCATTTTTAAATTATAAATTTCTAAATCAATAGTTTTTATTATAATTTATTTATATTTGTCAAAACTTTTATTAAAAATTCCCTATAATATTAACATAATAGTTTAAAGACATAAAAAAACAATATCAATGAATTTTCATGTGATTATCTGCTGATAACCATTTGAAAGTCATGTATATTATATGATATTTATGTGATTATGTAATAAATTGAATAATATTTATGAATGTCATATATTAATAATATTATGAAAGTTTCTGATACTAATTGTGTCGACTGATCCAATAGTAGTTATTTTTATCAATGATTCATATATTGCTTGTAATGGGAATAACATTGGGTATAATACTCAAAAAGGTAAGAAATATACATAATTTGTGTAACAATTAATTTTAAATATTTAAATATTAAAAACCCTTTATAAATTTCTTGTATTTTTATATAAATGCTTTTAATTATAAGGAAAATATCATTTTGTGAAATGGTTTTATTATTAAATACTATAATTAATAAATTCAAACGTAAATTTATTTTTATGTATATTGTACTTTATAATGTATTTATAAATTTTAGTTTTTGTACTATATTTTTGATGATTGATGTGTTTTAATCATTAAAATATAGCATTTTTTAAGTCATATAATTGAAAATATAATTAAATTCATAAACTGTAATAAACATTTTTTTATTTCAATACTTTATTTAAGTATTGATTTTAAAAAATATTATATTATTTGTTATGATTAAATAATATACAGTATATGTAATGAAATATTATTATCGTAAATAATAATTTTATAAATATATGTATTCTTTTGAAGATTATAAAATTAAATAGGTTATATAAAAAATATTCTTTTAAAAGTTATTAATTATTTTTTTGCATTTAATTATTTGAAAAAATTTATTTAGATATAAATAATATTTAAAATAATTTTATTGATTGTTTAGTTATTTTTAAACATTTTTATTGTTAAACATTGAATTGATGGCATTTATTGATATATTAATATAAATATATATATATATACTTTATAAATCAATAGTTTATTATACCTGATGTGTCTTAATACAATTTTAAAATTTAATTGAACTAATCATTAAAATGACCTTCATCCATTTAAAATGTTTAATACAAGGATTGTTTGTAATAATAAAAAAAATATTATTACTAAACTTACTCTATGTTATCCAATGTCGTGAACTATATTTTTAATTTAATCAAATTTTAAGGTACATAATAATCAATGGTTAATAAATATTAATAATTATAGTAAATAATTATTAAATGGACATTTGTACAGTAACTATAAAGAATATTTTACTATTTTTGTTAATTTTGTTATTATTACAAGTAATCATTATAAATAYATTGCAGTATTTATATTATAATAATTAATATGAAAATTTAATTTTTAAAAAAAATATTTGTAAAGAATGTTTAATAAATAATTATAAATAAACTAAACTTCTTTACTTGAAAATGTATTTTATAAAAATTATATAATTTTTAAAATAAGTATTATATTTATTTCTTACAAAGAAAATATTTAATAAATAATATAAATGAATATACAGTATTTGATATAATAAAAAAATTAGTTTTTAAAAAGTTATCAGATTTTTAAAATATGTCAAATGTGTTATACTTTAGCATCCTTTGTTTGACCGATACTTTAATCTATCAATTATTTTTACATAAAATTATTGTATCAATATATTATTTTTTTTGTAATTTATTAAAATTTAATCAATAATAAACACTTATTAGTATTCAATGTCATAACAGAAAAATTGGCACTAATTTCAATTTTGATTATATAAATATCGATTATCTGAATCTCATATATATATATAAATTAAATACATTATGTATTAATATAATAATATTTATATATAAATATAATTCATTATATAATATAATATATATTATTGTTTCTTATCATAGAAATGTCGTTCACCTCATCATTGATTATAGCCTTCACTAATATATTATATTTTGAAAAATATGTTATCCATCTTATGTTTTTATATAGTTATCGTTAATGAATAATTACATATAAATGAATATCTTATATAACTGTTTGTTAACACAAAACTATTTTTTATAACAAACAAAAACAGTTTTATGGGAAAAAATATTTTAACCACAAACTTAGATAATAGTGTTTTATATGAACATTATATGAATGATATTCACTAAAATCACATAATTTATAAATTGTATACTTAAATAACATACAGATAAATAACTAAATAAATTACTGAACTTTATTAATCTAAACTTTGCTATTCATAATAGTGAACATCTTATAGTAGTATAAATTTCTTTACTGTCAAAAAATGTTTCACAAAAATTTCCTTAATTTTTACACATTTTTATTCTTATTTTTATTTTCCTCTAAAAACACTCATATAAATCATTATCTATAATGGTAAAATATTAAAATTAAATGCACCTTTTTATGCATGTTTAATTATATATAAATATATATATATATATATTTAAGTTTACAAAAACAACAATAAAAAATACATTAATATATTGAATATATAACTTACTGTAACTAACATTATTTTTAATTAACAATAATGTCTATAACAATTATTTTTGTTTACTATTTATTTGACTAATATTTGTTTACTGTTTTTTCTAATAAATACACAAATTTATCGTTTTCCTTGATATGTAAAAAATATAACTAACATTGAAATAATATATTAAAATATTATTACTGTAGGTTAAAACTTTTGTGTACTAATATTAATTATAAACAATATATGCATTGAATTATATCTATGATTGAGAAGGAGAGCTGAAAGTTGTTTTCAAGACATTGAAGAGAAAGAGAGAGAGAGAGAGAGAGAGAGAGAGAGAGAGAGAGAGAGAGAGAGAGAGAGAGAGAGAGAGAGAGAGAGAGAGAGAGAGAGAGAGAGAGAGAGAGAGAGAGAGAGAGAGAGAGAGAGAGAGAGAGAGAGAGAGARAGAGAGAGAGAGAGAAATGTTTACACATTTAAATGAATGTATAGTTTGTCTCATTGGGTGACAGGAGTGGGCATTCCGTCTCTCCCTTGTCTTTCGCTCCCCTTTTAATAGACTATTAGCTTTGGTATGTTTAACATACTATACTATGATATGTTATTAAGGGAGTCAAGTGTTGTTGTTTTGGGATATTTTTGACTTTTTAATGTATGTCTCACTCTATTTCTCACTATTACTTTCACATCCAGTGATATGCCATTCATTAAAAGATATTTTTTGTGGTCATTGTTTTTGGTGCAGACAATAGTTATTAAATTGTTGATCGCATTATTAATACAATTGAATAGTGCATCAAAAATAGTTATCAATAGTAAAAGTATTATCAGTTTATTCTCATTTAGAGCTAACTATTTGAAGCGTTCATCCAAAATGGCCCAGGTAAACTAATTTTTAATATCATATCAATGTATCAATAATTTATCATGTTAAAAATAATATTTAAAAAAAACTAAATTAAAATTACAACTTATTATATATTAAGTTAAATACGGTAGTAACCAATAATCATAATAAAATAAATAAAATTTATATACTATGATATTAATTTTTATCAATGGTGCATTATCTAATACGGTAAAATATTTTTTGTATGTTTGTGCCAACTAAATTTGTTATCATTTTTGTATTTTTATACTATTGATAATTAAGTTGTGATTTGAATTTTTCAATTACTTTGTAACAAAAATTTTATCACTAACTTGTTGTCAATACCTGTATTTTAAAATTATTTTCTAAAAGAAATATATTTTTTTATTTAATAATATTTTATATTTTATAATAATCCAGAATATGAAAGCTGTAATTATAAACAATAATTAAATAATATATATTATATGTAGTATATCTGAAATTAACTATTATTAGAAACAATAGATGGCAATTATTGTAAACAATTTATTTAAAGTTGACAAATCAACTTTGTTTAAATCATTTTCAATTTTAATGAAAATTTTAGACAATTATCCTTGATAATATAATTGAATATATTATATTTTATATTGTATTATGCAATATACTATATATAGTTATATTCTAATGAATTTAAAGTATATTACATAACTATCAGTCTAATTATGATACTAAAAATAAGTAATTTATAATAACAAAATAAATTTATAGTAACAGAATAAATTTATTTAAATCATAATAAATTATTTTGCAATATTTCATTTGTTTCCTTAAAATAATCCAAATATTTTTTTTTACAAATAACTATTAAAATATTAATAACCATTTGGCATATAATAGTAAAATTTACTCAATAATAACCCTATGTTCATATCAGTGTTGATTTGTACCGATATATACCTTATATACTGTAGTTCATCAATAGTCAGTCATCAATCATCGGTACAAATTGTAGAGATTATTGTATACATCATAACCAATTAAAATTTATAGATACAAAAATTACAATTTATAGTTGTATTAAAGGTATTTATTCAAAATTTTATATATTTTTATAACTATCATATTAAAAATTATTTTAGATATACTTTGTATTTTGATCAAAAAAATATAGTGATCTAATGTAATAATTATATCTTTAATAATTAAGTTTTTATAATTTTTTAAAGTTATTTGTAATATAATTTCGAAAAATACATTTAAAGTATAATATGATTACAAAAAAATATATTCTATTTTATAGTGTATTATACATAAAAAAATTCTAAATCTTATATATTGTATATAAATTATCGTAATATTATTAACAAAAGTTTGTATTGATTAGCTAATAGTCAATGATTAATCATATTTTATTATAATATTTTTATAAACAATATTATTAACACAATAAAAAAATTAAAAATAATAACTAAACTGTTGATAAAATTGATTGATTTCAAATATATACTTTCTAATACACTTATTATTTAAATAATTGATATTGGTAATACAGTATAAACATTATTTGATAAAAAATATTAACATAGAAAATTTCTTATTTAAAAAAATTATCCAATAAAAGTTGATATTTTTATTATGTAAATTTATAATAATAGGTGGTGTAACAAAAAATGTATTTTTAACATTTTATACCTGTATTAATATTTTTAGACCGTATTAAATAATTTTTAGTTAATTGACAATTATTTTTCTATAAATTAGCATTAATTATAAATATAATACTTTGCTTTTATAAATAATTTGTTTCATATTCATATTCAAATTTTATTTTAAATTACAACTTCAATAAAGTCTTTTTTAATGAAAATTATTTAATTATCTTAATATTTATATTTCTAACTTATAATAAATTAATTAAATAAAAAAGTGTCTGCAAAAGTGAAACTTTTTTAATTTATTTAATAATGCAAAACACATACACGGTTTCTATATGTATACAATAACATCGTTTAACCTGGACACTATTATATAAATTATGGATATGTTGTTTTTGATTGATATAAATTTTATATACACTAATAATACAGTATATTGAGTAAAAAATTAACAATGAAATAAAATGTTTTTTTTATTTTTCAAAGCAGACAAACATTACAAAGTTTAGTGATATTTAATTTGATTTTATGGACTTTACAGTTACATTAGTAAATATGATATCATTTTTATTTTTAATGATGTGACTGTCAATAGATTTTATTATACAGTATTTTATATTTATTTAATTTTGTCGCAATTTAATTAAGATTTCCCTATAAAATTAACATTATTGACGAAAACTCATACATAATATCCATGAATTTTCATGTGATTAATTGATGATATTTATCACTTTAAAGTCATGTACATTTATATGTAATGATATTAAATGATTAATTTAATATTTTAAATTTTATACTTATAAATGTAATAAGTTAATAATATTTATAATTAATATAATGAAATTTACTGATACTGTTTTTGGGGATACAACTAATAGTATTAAACAATGTTATTAGCAATGTTTCATACTTGTTGGGAATTTATGGGATTAACAATGGGATTAATATTTAAAAAGGTAAAAACAAATAATTTTTTTATTATTATAAAATTCATATACGGTAATTTTCTTCTATTAAATCTATTGATTAAGTTTAAGTTATACGTATAATTTTTTTTAAAAGTAATAATAAGTTTTATTTTACAATATATATAATTTATWTATATATATATACAGTACTTTATTATTTTTATAATATATTATAATGAAAATAGTATAATTGAAAATAATATAATTATATATTTTTATYGTTTAATTAATGAAGTATTAGTCATTTTTTAATTAATAATTTTGWTAAATAAATCATTTCTTTTTAAATAATTTAAATATAAGCTATTATTTTCAAGTGTATATGCATTTATATATAAATTAAACTTTACATAAAACATTTAACATAATTCCTAAATAATATTATAATTTTTATTGAATTTTAATATCAATCGTTTATCCATGATCAAATATTGAAATATGTTTTGAATTAATAGCAATATATAATAAGTTACAAAATATGTATATAAATTAATATGTACGTGAATTTATTTAGAAATAATCAATTAATATGACCTTCATCATCTATTTAAATGTTTAATGCAAGGATTGTTTATAATCATATAAAATATTTTTTTCCCTAATATTATTTGATTTATTCCAATGTCTTGGTCTATATTTTTATTTTATTTAATCAAATATATATATATATATATATATATAGTTACACAATAATCATTGACTAATTAAAGTTATTACTGTATGTTGTGTCTATATATATATATAGTATATTTAGAAAAATTATTATTTAAATATAATTAGAAATGTACAGGTATACTATTTTTTGTTAGTAAGCTATTTGAACATTGAACATACAGTTATAATAAACAATATTCTGTAAGACATTTGTTAATTTTAATTACTAAATGAATTACTAAATGTATAAATTAAATTTTTAAAGTACTTATCTGATAATATTATAGTTAACATGAAAATTTGTTTACAATAATAATAATAATATAATGAATCTTTTTCTACTAATTTGATAAGTGATTAGTGACTAACTCTAGAGATTTACACTTAATCTATTTGTATAAAAATAATTTTTATAATTTATATTTAATAATAAAATCATATTTGCAATGTTTTACAAATGAGAGCTTAATATACTCAAAAATAATAATTTTTATTTAATATAATTCAAAATAAACTAAAAATAATTAAAATATGTTGCACTTTGGCATCACTTTTATTTGACCGATACCTTAATCTATTAACTATTTTATATAAGCATTATTATGTTTTCTTTATATTTTTTGTTGTTTAAAAAAATTTGATCAATAATAAGCATTTATTATTAGTATTCAATGTCATCAAAGAAAAAAGTTGGCACTAATTTCAATTTTGATTATATAAATATTTTTGAATCTCTCTTAATCTTACATAATATATTTATAAATCATTTTTATTATGTATGTATATATACTGTATAATTATGTATCATAGAAATGTCGTTCAACTCATAATTAATGACAACCTTCACTATTATTTTTAAAAATATTGAACAGTAATATAAATACAGTGTATATATATATATGATATATATATACACACATTATATTATACAATCCCTCTAATGTTTTATTTAGTAATCATTGATCAATAAATTCATGGAAATAATATACGATATATTGTTTTATAATTTATAACTTTATTTTTTTGGTACTTATTATGAGTCAAACTGATTGTTAATATGAAATTATATTTTTTTCCTCACAAAAAAACAGTTTTATGGGAAATATTTTAACAGTAAATTTATATAATATATTTCATATATAAATATTATTGGAATATTAATATAAACTAATAGAGTAAATATAGGGTAAATCTATAACTAAATAAAATATTATATTTTTATTAAATATTTGTAAACTATAAACTTTGCTATTTATAGAAACATTTTTTTACAAATACACAAAAAGTAGATTTGTTTTCTATGAATAGAAATGTTTTTGATAAAAATCAAAGTTTTAGAGAAAATAAAAATTAATGTTTAATTATAAAGTGTTTGAATATGTATTGATGGGATACACATGTTTAATAGTACAGTATTATCAATATTAATAATAGCACTAATATAGTAATACTGTATTAATGACTATTAATATTACTATAGATAATGGTCTACAAAAATATATAAACTTTGAACTCTAATTATAAACACTATTAATAATTGATTATAATTTTTAAGTCGTTTATATAGTAATTTGAATGACCATAAAAGGTGCCAATATTTATATTAAAATATAGACAACAATTTAGACCCATATTTCATATGAATAAATAATTTCACGTGCTTATTTCAATTTAATTTAGTGTAATATCACGTGCAATGAAAATATATTTAATTTCTAAATTATAATCCAATGTTTGAAAATGTTATTTATTTTAAAATCACGTTTACAGTGTACCTGATTTTATTATCGATTTATATTTGATTTAGGATTTTTTTTCTTTGAAATCTAAAATTTTTATATTTTTAATAATAATTAATTAATATTTTTTTTGTCACACAAATTGAATTTCAAATTTTATATAATTATTATACAGTAATAGTTTAGTTAATCCTTTACCTACAAAACGTTACACTATTATCATATAATTTCGATCCCATTATATAAATACTAATGTAAATGTAATGTAAATGTAATGTAAATGTAATGTTTGCACTGATTTACTCTCACTTATAACAGTATATATGAATGATTGATACTTTAGATTATTATATGACTATTTTGAACATTGAAATCAAATAATCAATTACTAGTGTTGCCACATAATCTAGAGGAATAACTTTGAGATAGATTATATGTAAATTAATATACTGTAAATTTATATTGGCAGTTTTAAATGAAAATGTTTGTTTTTATAATTAACATTTTTTACATGTAAAAATATGAAAATAAATATTTTTTGTGTCAAATTATATAAAAATATTATTAAGKTGAGCAATAAATATAAATAATCAATGTATATTTTATTTMATCAATATAGAATTATAATTATTTTGTAATAAGTTTGTTTTTACGTTTATTATTACAATCTGKCAATTATATATATATATATATATATATAACATATAATTTTTATAATTAAATAAATACTATTATCAACAACAAATAACCGGTTAATATTGGTACATGTGGTAACCATTGATGTATTAAAGCAATTTGATTGGCTGTTTGTTGTGCAGACACACACACATAATGTTGTCTAATGTTGACACTGTTTGTGACCATATTTTCGGCAAATAATAAAATCATATAATTATTATTGTAATGAAACTAAATAGACATCAATTGCAGGTCAATGAACACCTGATTGGTACCCGATTGGCACCATTCAAGTCCAGTGCCAACTATTTTGACCCGAAGTTGCCACGAGAGCGGCCAGTGGTCAACACTACGTGTGCCAAATGTACGGCAATTAAGTCCAACAAATTATTATTGAATTTTAATTACCGGTAATTGAAATGTCATTTATTTATCATATGATTAATGTATAGATTGTATAATAATTGACAATAATTTAGATATTATTATACAAATAGTCATCAATTTATTTATAACTAATTGAATGTTAAAACTTTGATTGAATTGAATTAACTATTAATTGTTTTTATCAATTGTTTCATTCAGTAATCGTAATCTAATTTCCCGATCATTTTATTACGCCTCGTATGTAATGTCACGGAAAGTGGACTCTCATTATCCAGAAGTGGCCGGCAAAGTGATCCGTAGCGGTAAAGTACAGACTGCTATCAAAGAGTCGGCTATTGAAGAGTTCAATCAATTACGAGAAGATGAAGCAGGTATTGGTGTGATTAACATCTCTTAACTATTTTTATTTTKAAACGTCTAATGATTTCTATATATCATAGGTCTTGTCGAAGAAGAAGAGCTTAAAACTATTGAACGRAAACAGAGATCGCGTGCAATAGAAATACTTCAGCGAATGAAGTCATGTATYTCATCATCGCTTCTCCGTATCGCTGGTTGGGTGCTCTATAAACTACTGTCCAAAATGTTAACCACAATTCAGTTTCATGAAGGTATTAACTGATCTATTTATTTGTTATTTGATTGATTTGCCAAATGGATCAACATTTAGGTCAAATTGAACGCATCCGCCGCTGCCGTACCTCATCAGCCAATATACCCATCGTTTATCTGCCACTCCATCGGTCACATCTTGACTACATTTTAGTGTCATTTATACTATATATGAATAATATTAAGCCTCCGTTGGTCGCCGCCGGTGATAACCTACTCATACCATTTTTTGGTAATCTAATGCGCGGTTTGGGCGCATTCTTCATCAAGCGTCGACTTGACCACAGCGATGGTAAAAGRGATCACCTCTACAGAGCTGTTCTCCAGACTTATATTAATGAGAACTTGAAATCTGGTAACTCATTGGAGTTTTTCATTGAAGGCGGCCGTTCGCGCACTGGTAAAGTCTTGACTCCTAAGTCAGGCTTACTATCCGTTATCGTTGACTCTGTACTCGATGGTATGTTTGTATGGTATATGTTTGATAAAAAAAGATAATTAATGATTTGCAAATAACAGGTTCACTGCAAGATGTATTCATAGTTCCTATAGCCATATCCTATGAGAAGCTCATGGATGGCACGTTTGTTGCCGAACAACTCGGCAAACCAAAAACACCCGAAAGCTTTACGTTAGCCGCCCGATCCATTTGGTCGACACTTCATACGAAGTTCGGCTCAGTTCGGGTCGACTTTTGTAATCCTTTTTCACTTAAAGATTACTTACATAACTCCTCCTTTAATACAGTCAAAAGTAATAACATATTAAATAAACAACACAATCATCAGGGATTACATTGTGTTGCTTGTAATGGTAATTAAATGAATTTATTTTTTTTAATCAATTTAARACATTTAATGACACTTTGATTGTTGTTAATTAGGTAATACTCAGCAACTGTCGGCTTTTGAGTCTATCTATGGACTTGACGTCATTGCATCTGAAGATAAACGCCACACAATCGAGAAGTTGGCTCAACATGTAGTTTACGATGCGTTCAATGCATTAACATTGATGTCCACCCAAATGGTAGCCTTCCTATTGCTGACTAAACACCGTAAGGGAGCAACACTTCATCAATTAGCTCAAAGTCTCAATTGGTTTCGCGAAGAATGCAATAGACGAAATCGTGACGTTTGTGTTACCGGTGACTCGTTGGACGTCATCCGAAATGCTTGTCTATTATTGGGCAAAGATCTGGTGTCCATCGAAAAGGTATCAATGGCCTGGTCTTCGTCAGACRGTTTGGGAGGACCGCTGACAGAGAACAACAATGTGAAGATAGTGTTCCTCAAACCATCAGTTAAATTGCCGCACGTACTCGAGCTTCAGTATTACGCCAACTCTTGTATATCACTTTTCCAATTGGATTCAGTTATAGGTCAGCTATCAAATTGTTGTCAATACTAATATTTACTAAATTTAATTATCTAATGATTTTTTAATATTAAAATAATTATATAGTCAATGCAATGTTTGCATTAATTAACAATCAATTGGATGGACTGTCTGCATGTGGGGATAACATGGAAAGTCATCTGTGCATTGATTATAACGATTTGATAGACAAATCTATACAACTTTGCGATATACTTCATAACGACTTTCTATTAGCACCGGTATGTCGATTGGGTTTATTATGATTTTGTTTTATTTTAAAATTATTACTTTACAATAGCCCTGTGTCAACATTCGCGACAAAGTTACCGATACGGTTGAAAACATGATAATGTTTGGTATACTTACCGAAGCCCACAAAGATGTGGTGGCSGACTATCAACTCAAACAGCGATTCCGTCATTTCGAGTTTGATGATGACGGAGAAGAGGACGGCTATATTGGCGGACATAGGAATGGCTTTAATATTAAGCGTCGAGAGCTTAGAATTGTGTTGACTGATGAAAACAAAGAGTCATTATTGTTTTACCGATCAGTGTTGGCCGCTTATATTGAATCCTATTGGGTGGCCGCTTCTACATTACCCAAACTAATCGGCAGCGAAGCTATTGATGAGGAAACGTTTTTTAATCAAATGATTGATATTGCAAAAGAAAAGCAACAAAAAGGACTGTTATTTCACGGTAACTATATTTTATAATAATCTATTTGAAATAAATTGTTAATTTAATTAAACATTATTTTTGTTTTCTTTTATACAGAGGAGTGTATAGCTCTCGATCCCTTCAAAAATGCTGTCAAACTATTTGAAAGTTGGAATCTATTGATTATTGAAACGATAAACGGTGTCCGACACCTACGGCTCAGGCCTGAGTTTAATAGTGTACAGGAGCTCAATGATGTTATACTCAGGATTGAAGACTTCAAAATATAGTCATCCAAAAATGGGAACTCATATTTTCAAACAACAATCTCTATAATGAACTAAAGATTTTATCTCTCGTTACATAATTTATGATATTTGTGTTATTTAAAAATATATATTAAATATAAATGATTTTTGGTAAATATGTATTTACATAAATCATTACTTTAATAACCAATTGACACAATAAGTCATGAATTATTTTATTAAAACTTACGTTAGAATTTTAGCAAAATTTTTTTTACGAGTCAGACCATTGACTTTAAAAAATTAGTGATTGAACTGTGGTATGAGTAATATTATTGTTTTATTTTTAAAAACAAATTAATATTAATATAGTTTTTAATTTCTTCTTACAATTTTATAAAGAGAAATATTGATAGAGATTTGAATATAAAATTTTAAATACTTATTTATAATCTCATGATGTACTGTATATTCTCAACTATTTACTCTACAAACTTGTAATCGTTAATAACTTTTTTTCAATTTATAAGTTTATCAATGTTATCACAAGARAGAGAGAGAGATAGACAACTAAATTAGGTTAACTCCTATTTCTGGACTAATATCATAAACTGAGGAACGGGTAGATTTGAGAAAACGGAGTTTTATATAGACTGAATTGAAAACGGTTTTCTAGTAATACCTATATTAGTGAGTTTCATAACAATATGTGCTCAAAAAACCTTTAAAAATTAATTAAAATAATTGATTTAAAGTGGTTTTATTGTAATTAATATTATTTTGTATAGTATTTTCATTATATTATTTATAATGATACGGTTTTGTTATTTTTAATTGATGAATGCGATGAATATAGTAAAATATATATTATATAGTTTAAATATAAATATATTTTATTGAAACATAACAAATAATCTCATTTTTTATTAAAATATTGTTCAATATTTTTGTGAATAATTATATATTTTTATTTTATATATATATAATGTTATATATTAATGTATATGAATCAAGTACTGTATTTTAAATAATTTTTAAAAAAAATTATTATGGTCAATAAATTTATTTTATTGGTAATATTTTATCTAAGTTATAAATTTTAATATAGAAAGATAATTAATATATTTTATTATTGAAAAATAATAAAAATTAACTTTAATTTAATAACTGAATATATATTAATTTAATTTACTTAAAATATGATTCTATGAAAATAAATGCTTATTAATCAATATTAATTTTAATCATATTATTAAATATATTTATAATTAGTTTATTAATAGTTTTTTCAATTAATTTATCAAAAAAATGTTTAGCAATAAATTTGATAAAACAAAATAAATTATTAAACATTAGTAAATGAGACTACAAAGCAAATGTTTATTTCATAAACTTAAATTAGATCATCAAATAAATTGATTTTAATGAATTTAAAATTAGATAAATATGTAGTACATTATGGCATATGTTTATAATTATTATTTTTTAATACATTAATTATCAAAATAAACTAACCAAGGTTGTCTAGACAATTTTGGATGCACTCAAATCAGATATTTGTCATACATTAATAATATATTACTTTTATTTTAAAAATATATAGAAAAACTTAAGATAAGTAATTATTGATTTTGAGTAATAGTTAATAATTAATWAATAAAAATTATTAGTTATATGTTTAAAAAATAAATAACAAAAAATACAAAAAAGGCACCGCCGAGATTCGAACTCGGGATCTCCTGTTTACTAGACAGGCGCTTTAACCAACTAAGCCACGGCGCCTCACATTTACCCTACATATAGATTAACCTATACTAGCATTAGTATTGTTGTACTATTTAGTAGTTTTGATAATACTGTAACAATCAATGCACTGCAATATTATTGTATATTAATGKTTAACTCAATAATATAGTGTTTACCGGTAAATGTGTATATAATGTTYATTTACTGCCATCTATTATCAATTGTGAAATGTTATTACTATATTATATTTATTATTAGGAAATTCCTAATAGGAATCCTAATTTAGGATTTTCAATACAATATATTTATTTTGAAAAGTTGTATATAYACTGTATATTATACAGTATTCAATACTATACTGTAATTATTACAATATTATAAATTATTATAACTATTTTATTTATATAAAATGGTTAAAACTAACTTTAATTTCTCTAATTGATTATGATTTTTCAATTTATAATAATTTATAGACAATTCAAAATTTAGTAAAAATATAGATTTTATTTATAACATGTAATTTAAAATAGATTATAGTTTATTATAATTATCTTTTAAAAATTGTTTTTAATTATTTATTAATTAACTAATTATAAGTTATTTTATAATTATATAAAAAATAATGAGTAATTACTTAATTAAAACTTATATTTAAAAATTAAACAAAATATCATTAATATACAATTAAATCAAAAAATTACATTAAAAATCACTAATCAAATGATAATCCTTTCAATACTCAATGGTAACGGTTTTGGTCTTCAGATATTCGTTGAGCGCCTCCTGACCCAAGTCTTTRCCGAAACCCGATTGTTTGAAACCGCCGAAAGGCGCGGCMACATCGGTCTTGTTGTAACAGTTAACAAAACACGTGCCGGCATTGATCTTCTCGGTCACGTACAGTGCTTTGGAGATGTCGCGCGTGAAGACACCCGAAGCTAATCCAAATTCGGTATTATTGGCCCGACGAAGGACATCGTCGACATCGCCATTTGGGAACTTACTGATGATCATAATCGGTCCGAACGACTCTTCCCGTGCAATGTACATATTGTCGGTGACCTCCGTAAATATGGTCGGCATAAAGTAGAGACCCGGTCTGTCCACTTGTCGGCCACCGTAGACAAGTCGTGCGCCATCTTTAACTCCTATCTGTGCGTATTCAACAAGTTTTTCGAGATGCGACCTATGATTTTGAGGACCGTGCGATGTGGACCTGTCTAAAGGATTGCCAATCTTTATTTTACGGGTTTCCTCGACAACCCTTCGGACAAACTCGTCGTGAATGGACTCCTCGACAAACAATCGACCGGCAGCTATACAGTTCTCACCTAATGGACAGAAAGCCATGATATAGTCTGTATGGCAATAAAATCTTTATAGAAAACAAACCTTTATTGAAGAATACGCCAGACATGGCCTGACGTACAGCGCGTTCGAGATCTGCGTCGTTGAAGATAATAAGCGGCGATTTTCCGCCCAATTCTAGTGACACACGTTTCATGTTTGACTCGGCACAGGATCTCATAATTTGTTGTCCAATCGGTGTTGAACCAGTAAAACCCAGTTTACGTATCAATGGATGATCGGCTATGGCCTGACCGCACACCGAACCAGAACCGGGAAGTATATTAATAACACCGGGAGGAAAACCGGCGTAAACCGATAACTCAGCCAATTTGAGTGCAGTTAGTGGTGAGACCTTAAAAATTTTCAACAAACCTATTATTATTAATGCATTAAAAAGTCAGACACAGTTACGCCTACCTGTGCTGGTTTTAAAACAACAGTATTACCGGCTGCCAGACATGCGGCCATTTTCCATGAGACCATCATTAACGGGTAATTCCAAGGTGTGATTATACCGCACACCCCTATTGGCTCCTTTTTAGTAAATGACAGATTTCTATTGGGTCGGGCGTTGTTGATGGGTATGGTTGAGCCCTGAATTTTGTCGCACCAACCGGCAAAGTACCTCCACGTGTCGATCGACATTCCGATATGTGTTTTGATGGCCAACGTATAGACAGCTCCCGAATCAATGGATTCAATTGTGGCCAACTCTTCCTTGTGTTGCTCCATAAGATCGGCCAATCGGAACATTAGTTTACCGCGATCTCTGGCATTCATTTGTGCCCAATCGCCCGACTCGAATGCCATGGCGGCCGCAGCGACAGCTTTGTCTACATCCTCGCGAGTGGCGCTCTGGACCTCACAAATGATTGATTCGTCGTTTGGATTAATTGTTTTTAAAACTTTTTGCGGATTTGACGAATCGATGAACTGATTGTTTATAAAGAGTTGATTAGCAAACCTGACGGTTCGCTTATTTACGTTCAACTCGACCGGTGTAAACACTAACTGTTGGCCACTGGAGCCGCCGCGCGACTTGAGAACAACCAATTTGGAGAATTCATCAAAAGTTGTGGCCATATAGACGTCTTCATTGGCCAGTTCGACGCCGGCCATCGATTCGATCTCTTTGATCTCCTCGACCAGTCTCGTCACGTCCATAGAACCGGCGCCCGATTTGAAGAAATCTGTGGCCAATTCAATCTCTAAGTTTAATATAGACTCCCAAATGGATTTAATTTGATCTACAATTGCTTGTTCATCAGCTGATAGATCACCAATGTCTGATTGGACATCACTCTGKCCATAATTGGCCGCTGCAATCATTTTCCCGTTTTCCAGAACCAGTTTTTTTACATTAACGGGCTGTCCGTCCCGTCCGAACAGTAGTAAACCCTCGTTGTGCACCAGTGCTGGTCGTTCAGCACCTGTAATATTTTTATTATATAATATAAATTTACATTAATATTACCGGTAGTATAAAATTATTATTAATAACTGTTTGAAAAGCTAATACCTGGCACTTGAACTTCAAGTCCATCTTTGGGAATATCCTTTTTCCAGCGTTGAGAGCCATACAGTTTGACCTCTTGGCCATCAAGTGTGACCCAAGCACCGGGCACTTTGTCGCAGCCGCGGATGAAGTCGTGCAACTGTTGTCCAGTTAATTCACTAATTTTGATTATAGACGACTCTTTCTTGTTAAGCATTGGTTCATAGGAGGCGCCCTCCTCGGACTGGGTAACTCGTGGAGCCTTTCCAACGGCAATCAAGTTAACGGCTTCGGCCATCGCTTTAATACCTTCCGGGAATAGGAATCTGTTATATAACGACTCAACCGTCTCATTGTCGTCCAGTTCCACCTGACGTTGCAATAGTATGGGACCGGTATCTAACCCATCGTCGGCCCAGAAAATTGAGAAACCGCCTAAAAATTGTTGTGTAAATTGTTTTTTATTTATTTAATTAGTATTTTTGTTTTATATTTCTTATGATCAACACGTGATAGAAGGGTTGTTTGTGTGGACTATAAATAGAAATTTATAGCAAAATAAATAAACTATAAATAAATTAATTATCAATATATTTCGCAATTAAATATGTTTATAAATAAATAATTTAGAATTAAAAAAAATAAATTATTAAAATAAAAATATTTGTATCATGGATTGTTATTTCATATTACTATATACCAAACTATACCTGCTATATAGCAATTAACTTCAAAAATAGTTATATCTATTGATTATCTCATAGATAAAAAAATTTAGCACTAATATTTGTGGTTTATATTCAATGACAAAATTATAATTAAGTGTCTTTTAATACGGTAAATTAATTAAATTATTATTATTTTATTATGTTATGTTTACTACTTTACAATTTACATCATAATTAAAATATGTTTGAAAAGTTAAGAAAAATTAATATAAAGTAAATCTTATATTTTATTTATAAAGAAAATTTTATATATATTTTATATAGAATAATTACTGTATTTTAAAAATAAAAAATACAGCATTTAATTTATTATTATTATTATTATTTTTAAAACTATGATTTTAACCTAAAGATGTTTTATTTTGCTGTATGATTGCCAGTAATTTCTATACCAGTTTTGGCCATAAACTTGTTTTGGGCCATAAATTCCTTATATTTATTTTATATAAGGAATAGTTGTTATTTATTAAGAGCACAACTATTATAAGTAAACAAAATTTTCATCGATTCGACTCTCACTCCTAATCTAAGGATAAATATATATTATATTATTGTATATCCAACTAAACAAACCCCTTATCCTTAAAACTCTGGTAACAAAATAAATATTTTTCCGATATTAATATATTGTCATTCAATTTTGTTTCTATAGTTAAAAGTCAATTTAAATGAATATATTTCACAATTAGTAAACTATTTTGTTGTTGAAACAAATAGTAAGTTTTTAATATCCGTTCAAAAATGTTAAGCTATTAATATATTAGCGCCAAATAATTTTGTATATAAAAAAGTGTTTTCCCTTATTATARACGTCRATTTTTTAGTGTTAATGAAATAATATAATAATTTTTGTATTGTATTATCGACTATATTTAGTAACGTTAAAAATTAAGTGACTATTTGTTTTGTTATTTTTATATAAAAGACACATTTTATAATAATAATAATTTCTAATATAAAATTCTGTATTTAATTAAATTAAATATTGTGAAAAAATAGTTTAATGTTAGTGTTTGTGGTTATTTAAACCAAAAAAAGTGTCATTCATTGAAAAGTCATTGTTAAGTAAACCTCAAACTTGAAAATTTTGTTTAAATCTCTATAAAAAACAAGTAAACAATTTTGATGTCAAAACTATGAACAAAATTATAGTTTTGTTGCTTATCATAGCATTTATCATATTATGTATGCCATCACTATATGAATCAAAAAGTAAGTCAGTGTATATAAATTTTTTGTTATTAATAATGATTTTTGTTATTATCAAATCACCTAAATACCAATACACGTTTTGGCGATTTATGTTATTTWTATTTTCGATGAATAAATTATGTGTTATATTTAATATTAATTATTTTTATTATTATTTATAAATAGAGAGCATAAAGGAGTGCAAAGGGGGCCGAGAGTTCTGGGGCTGTGAGTCGCCCACTAAAGAGTGTCAGAGATTATGCGAAAATAAACACTTAAGAAGGTATGACTTGATTTTTGTTGTTAAATAACCCAAATATATATATAATAAATGAGTTTTAATTTTTTTTTAAGTTCATTTTAAGTTCATATTTAGTATTTAATGTGTGATATTGCAATTTTTTCTGCTCATAGTATAATATTTCACAATTGATGTTAAAATATTAGTAAAATTTTATCAACAATTCTAATATCAATTTCATCATTACACAAAATAATAAAAATTTTCCAAAATAGCCCTGATAGTTTTCTCTAATCAATTTTATCAAATTGTTTTTTTACTAATAGGTCAAAAGCCAAGGCCTGCAATAAGACATGTCATTTATCATGTATTTGTGTGCCGGGCTTTCTAAGGGAGGGCGAGAATGGCGAGTGTGTCCCGGAGTCCGAGTGCTCTAATTTCTAATAAAAATGTATTTTTTGGGACATTTATTGTTAATTAATAACATATTTTTTAGTATTTTATAATAGATAATATATACTGTTCTAAAAATATATATATTAAAAATTAAATTTCTGTAATATACAACTTTTATTTTGTAACTTAATTAATTAGCAACATAATAATTTGTCGATTTTTATTTTCAAGCAATTTTTTTTAATTAGGATTTCCTATTATAAAAAGATATCCTATTTATTATTATAAAATAATAACTATATATATATATATATATATATATACCTCGCTTAAACTTTGTTGATAAATAACTTATAAATAAAATAATACTTTTTCAAATTAATATAAGTTTTCTTGTGTTATTAAAACTAAATAAGTTATCGGATAGTAAATTTAATTTTTAAAAATTAAAATACAATATTTTTGCCAAACCTTGTTTAGTACTTAGGAACTATAAAAATGACTATATTTTAAATTGTATGTACTGTATTGTACTGTAGTATACAATTTGTATATCATTATTCAATATTTTTTTTGATAAAATAAATTATACATTTGAGTTCATATCACATATCAATAGATAAAACACATTATGATTTATCAAAAATACATATAAATTTTTGTACTCAAATTGTTTTTCTAACTCTCCATTCATGGGATGTTCACATGATTGCTTTTACTTAATAATAAATACTTATTTACAGTAATGATAATATAAATAACTGATTTTCAAATAAACACCTATTTTTGAAAATAATTTAAAAAACTATTTCCTTAGAAATATGCAATTAATATACTTCATAATAAAATTAGATAATATAAAAAGTGTACATATAAATATGAAATCAATAGATTTTTAATACTATATTTTCAATAATAATTTGTATAATAAATTCAAAAAAATATTTACCTAATTTATCGCCACTGATGAGTGTCCAGTTAATACTAGCAGCACCTCTATGTTTAGGCAACAGAGATGGGTGATAGCAAATGGATTGATGTTTGGGATAATTGATGACCTCCATGGGTATGAATTGGGAACAGTATGGTAGCACATTTAGCTCAGCACCCACCGATTTATACTGTTCCAGTACTTTGGGCAATGGTTGTCCTATGATTTACAAAAAAATATATTATTAAGTATTCTCTAATTGTTTTCAGACATACCTTTTGATCGCCAATTTTTAAACTTAAATACCGGCACTCCATCACTGGCCGCTACCGATGCCAACGGGTCTTCTCTGTTGTTGACATCGGGAATAGTAAATACACCGACAACTTGATGGCCATTCTGTTGCAATAATTGATACACAGAGCTGGCAAACACCGACTGTCCAATTATGGCAATCTTCATATTAGATTGGTTTCTGGTTGTCACAAATGATACAGTTTTTGAAATAATTTTATTTTTCAGCGATAAAAACTTTAGTAACATTCATATAGTTTGCTATTGATATTTATATACTTTTAAATTTGAAATATTTTTAAAGTAAACATTTTTTCCGTTTGGTTACTGATAAGGGACAGTAGGTATGGATTTGTATATTCAATTAATGTTTATAATATTATATATTTATATATATATATATGACACAACACCACTGATAAAATGTGTTTCATTTCAATATGAAAATTATATATAAAATATAATATATATATATATATGTTTCTAATATTGTAAATGAATTTAATTGTTAATTAATTGGTAWWTTCTGATAAATTCATAAAATAAGTGATCAAATATAGYTATATAGTTTGCAAATTATTACTGTAAATTATATGTCGATCTATTGGACACTTTTACACTCAATACTTATAATGTTATATAATATCTTAGATGTTTGTTAATAATTTTGAAATCAAAACTGTTTATAAATGTTATATAATATCTTAAAAAGTACTAAATTAGTACTGGAGTGAAATTTCTCGTTTTTTGACCAAAAATAAATTCAATAAAATAAAAAAGTAAAATCTTTTTTTATTAATTTACTTGATTTCTTGATTTTTGGTATTATTTAGTCTATCTTATAATATACTATAAGTCTGTAACTGTATGTATAAATATGATATAAGTTTATTTGGTTCAAAATACAGGTCCTTATGTGAGGTGATAGCAAATACTGTATTTGAAAAGTTAATGAACTATTTTGAGAACAGTCTATAATATCATTTAAAGTACTGACAATTTTGTACAGTATTAGTTTAAGTTTTAAACGATAAAATTGATAAAACAAGTATACCTTTATTAAAACAATTAATTAATTAATTATTTTCAATTAAMTTAATAATAACAATTAATTTAGTTAAAAACAGAAACCTAACAATAAATTKTTGTTATTATAGTTATATATAGATAATAAAATAATAAAAAGATAATATAGACATTACATATAGATAAGAATATATTGTAAGGTTTCAATTGTTTAGTAGTTAGCATATTAAACGTTTAAATAATTTAATAAATGATTTATTATTATCGAAAAAGAATATATTGATAATAATAAATATGTAATTTTACTATTAATGTACTAAAAAAATAATTTTATTAACCTGAATATTTGTAAATTTTTCAATTTTTGTCCAAAATACTTAACCACTATTTGGATAATGTCCAGCAAAACTTGAACACAATTTAATGACTGTTAATTTAAATAAAAATATTTTATATAAACATTATTAATTTAATTTATTACAATGATACTGTACTTAATATGTAAATAGTTTACTAATTAATTTTTTAAATAACCTTCTTATTATTAGACTTTATAATACAAATTCAAATTATAAATAATACATTAATTATTAAGTATCTGTATATTAATTTAATATTATTAAATCTTTAAGTGTAAATAATAAAAATTGTATTACTGTAGCACATAAAACATTGCATTGTTAATAAATTAATAATAATAATTTTCCAATAAAACATACTTATATCTATTTTTCAACTAATTGTATTGTAAAATTTTAATTACTAAAATTTATATTAAACTTTAAACTAAACTAATCTAATGTATTTAATTATATGCATAGAATTGTCAAACGAGTTTAAATAAMAACAATTATTTGTTAWGTAAATCACAACTTAACTCAAAGTAAAAAGTAATTTCCCAGAAAATAKATAAAATAATATAATTTGACCATGGATGAGTATATAAAATATCTAGAAATTTATTCAAAAAAATGTTGCTTTAAAAATAATACTAATATATTTGTAGACATTTATAGTAAGTATTGACATCTAAAAAAATAAAGCCATTCAACACTAATTAATTATAAATTTASACACTTATAGTATATGTATAAGTATTATATATGCAAGATTGAACCGGTTTATTTGGCAATAGTGATAAAAATATTATTTTTAAAAAAAAGATAATATACAGTAAATGAAAGATCTATTTAAATGATAGCAAGACATACATATACTAGTGACTGATATTTTAATATAAAAGTCATAATAATTGGAAATTTTTTTGATAAATATTGTAAAATGTGAAATCAATAAAGTAAATGATTTTATAAATAATTTTTCCAGCTATAAGTTAGCGGTAAAAAAGAGTTATCATCAGAAATGGGTAAATAGAAATTTCTAATAAATTTCCCAAAGAATATTTCTAGAAGGTTTCTCAAAAATAAATTTCTGTATTGTAGTGTAATACTGAAATATAGATAAATAATTTAAACAACACTATTATACAAATGGGATCTATATATTTAAAATTATTATACTAAAATAATTTTATTATAATTAGTTATAAAATTTATTCATAATTTTATTATTATTTATTAATTCAATAATTCTGTTATTTTGAACAGTAATTAAAATATTTCTAATAATATTTAGCTATTATTAATAATTATAATATACTTTTACAATATAACAAAAAATGATTAAAAACAAAATAAACATGGGTATCCAATTTTTTTAAAGAAAATTTCTAGTAATTTCTCAATTATTTTAGAAATTTCTCTTTTTTCAACTCTAGTTGTTATCAATAAACAAAATAAATCATTCAATTATACATATGCTCCACAAAACGTACATTAATAATAAAGATAATATTATATATTATAAAATTAATATTTTWAWAAAAAATTATTAAAAGTTAAATGTTTTATTTTTAACATATATTTTTTGATAACTTAATTTATATGTTTATCAATTGTAAATTAAATAATCTAATATTGATATATAAATATTTAATTAGATATTTCAGTAGAACATCTTAAGGCATAAATTCAATAATTTTTTTATAAATTAATATTAATAATAATTAAGATGTTTATTCATATAGTGGCCAATAAACTATATAATAATATAACAATGAATACTAAATAATGATTGCATATACTGTAGTTAAATACTGGGCGTTTGACATTTATAACATTGTATACATTATATATATGATAATATTGTATTATATGGTATATTATATTTATATTGTTGTTAGAAAGGATGGCTTTTAACGTGTCGTTGCTTTCATACAAATGTCAAATCTTAGGTTAACTAATAAAAGAAAAAAAATTGAAACAATTGTTTAATAAAAACTGCGTGTTCTTTGTCTACAAAAAATTGTATTTTATAATAAAATTATTGTCATAAAATATTTTATTATAACTAAGATATTGATATCATTTAATTTATAAAATATTAAATTAGTTAAATTATTATATAACTAATATTTCTATTTATAATWCTCTATAAACTGTTATCTAATATTATTAATTCTAAATTAAATATGAGTTTAAATACTATTTTATAGTAAAATATTATCAATAAAAAGATAATATATTYGTTTGGAAATTATTRTGAAATATTAACTTATTTCACACATAATAATMATTTTTAATGTAATATGAGTTTATCATTTATATGTCAAATATATATCAAAATCTTTGCTAAAAATAGTCTCAAAAATATAATTATAAATATATAATATCATATTTATTWTATAATTTTAAAAAATAATTTATACAATATTAATTAGACATAATTCAAACAAAAGTTAAACTTAAAAATATTTAATTATTTATATACAGTAAATAATAAGTTATATATAATAGTATAGATATATATTTAGTAAATAAATTATAGAAATATTTTTATATTTAAAAWCTTTAAAATAGTTTTGTAAATATATTAAGGATTAATAGTATAAATATGTGTGACATCAGGATTAGAGCCGKTAGTAGTAGTTGTTGTCATACGAGTCAATGTATTGGTTAGCGCCGGGTGTCCGACAAAAATCATATTGTCTTTTAACAAGTGGTGTGTGTTTGACAAGTCTAGTGATGAAACTCTAATAGTTTCCAAATGATTAGTCATTACAGGGATGTGACTGAAGCCCAATACTTCGGAATTGGTATTGTCTGTTGAAGTTTTGGATGACCGGCTATTGTGTCCACCGRACCGTTATCATTGACTACACCAGCATTGTTACTATTGTTACTATTGCTACTATTACTACTACCACTGTTACAACTATTATAAGCAATGGTATCRTTAGTCTCGGAAATAGTACTGTAGTGACCAAAGTCTTTCAGATATTTCTGTTCTCGTAACAGACGGTCCTTATGTTTTTGRATTAAATCAATTTTGGCGTAAAGTCCTATTGGTGGCTGTTTTTGCGCTGATGTGGACGGTTGGGTCAATGGACAGGTGTTTTGTTGACTTTGTTTCTTTTCATTAATAACKGCCAACTCGGCTGCAATCAGTGCCGCTCTTCGTATCTTTTCTTCTGTTTCTTCTAATAATAACAAATATTTAGAAATTATTTGTTTTATACAAATTTATCTGWCTTTTTGAAAATGACAGCAAAAAARYCATACCTGTMATAGGATTGGATGAAAAGTTGGCGATCTCTTCGTAAACGTTTTCCAATTTATTTGACATAGATTTGGCCGACGATTGAGTGGTCGCACCGACAATGRCCTGAGATTTGACTGACGAATTGGCCTGAACTCTGAAAGGCTTGCGAAACGGTATGTTTGTTGACCGAAGCGCCTCAATGGCCCACGAGGTTCGGCCGCTGCAGTTCAATGATGGCKGTCTTGTTGACCATTTTAGTTGCAATATATTTCTATACAATATATTATTATTATTTTTATTATAATTTTATTATTAAGTTATGTTTTTTATAAAAATAAATATATTTACTAATTCTACCTTTTAAATAGCAGTGTAATAAGTATTAGTAGTATCAATAGGACGACCACTATTACCGAACTTAATATAATAGATATACTAATATCCGATTTTTTGTCGACCATTTTATCGGATAGAGTAGCCGTATAAAAGTTAACTGTCAATTAAAAAATTATAATTAGATTTTCTAGTATTTTTGGTTTGAAATGTCTTTTGAATACCTCTATCATAAATACATGTAGATTCGAGTCCAGTCCACGAGCCGTCATCCGCGCACCGTATGATTAGACTCAACCGTTTGCCATTAAAGCACATRAGTTCGGCCATWGMTGTGAATCTGGTCGACCCGTTTAACAGTTTGAAACGACCGCCTAAATAATCACTGTTATCGTTAGGCAGACCACAATCAACAGCTTTAATATGAGACAATAAAATTAGTTATTTTTTAAAAATAATAATATTTTATTTCATTGAAAAACATATTTAACTAAAATAACACTTACGATGACATTCGGGTTGTTGGCCAGTCCAGGTACCGTTTTCTTCACAATATTGTGTGTCATTTCCACCCACCAAACTATATCCCGGTGCGCACGAGTAGAATATTTTGCTGCCCAGTGCCGGAATCTCATTGTTGGCCTGACCAACAATCCTAAARTGACCATTTTCAACTGCCAATGGYCGCGAACAATGTATTGGTCTACATATAGGCTGACTCTCAGTCCACTGTCCACTCTTCATACAAGTTCTTATTTTTGATCCGTCCAGTCTATAGCCAGGATGACAGTCATATGTAACTGTATGTCCAGGTGTGTCGTGAGTATACGAGTTGGCCGGCTCTTCTGGTTGTCCACATTCATAGTAATCTATTGACAAATAATTTAGTTGACAATTGTTTTATAAAAATAAAATATTATTTGTTATAATTTTTTAGATCAAACCTTTGAGAACAAASACCTCGACTTCGCAAAGACCGAAATACTCTAAATTATGTGAATTGTCTTCAATGTGTAACAATGAACCGGTTATGCCTTTGATGTTACCGCAGCCCAAAATCATGGCCTGAGATGAGAAGATTCCCCGAAATGAGGCGCACTTATGGTATTTAGTGACCGAATCTTTTACTTCAATCACATAAATAGTGAAGTGATGTTCTGAACCTTTATTTATGTGCAAATAAATCAATAAAAATCTAGTTATTATTTTTTATAGTAATAACTAACTGGCAAACGGAACAGTTATGGACACCGATAGGACAGTCTGTGTAAAACCCATATCCATTCGCCACCACCGAGGCTTACGGCGGTTACTGTAAAAACAAGTCTTTTTGTTGCCATCATTGGCCAAATCGGGCGGATATTGGGAAAGGGATTCCGATGAGGACGTGTAGTGCGATAATGAAGATAATGTTGTATCTGTTGTTTATGTAATTGATATTTAATTTTTAAATATAAGATTATTTAAAATTATTGTCAATGATATTACAAATAATATAATATTTATTAATTTTGTGCACAACTTTATAAATATGTAAATTCAGTTATTTTAGTTTTATTTATAAAATTAYATTAATATCGGTACAAATAAATGATTACAGATATAATTAACAAAAGTACTATATTTTAACTGAAAAATATTTTAAAATAAGAATAACTGTAATAATAATAAAAATAATAACTATTTTTTTATAAAATTATATTCTAAAATAAATATCTAAAATTATTTCAAGCAAATAATTTTGATAACATATCATTTAATTATAATTAACTCTTAAATGTTTACAAAATAAGTTTACGGATCAAAARCATTTGTTTGATAGTTTAATATAATAGTAGTGTTTAACAGTATTTTAAAAATGCTAATTACTTTTATAATTATATATAAAATTAAAAAAAATATTTGTAAACATTTATTTACCGCAAACTGGTATATTTCCTGTCCACGTGCCATTAGGAAGACATCTCCTAACTATTGTGCCAATCATGTAATAGCCGCTATTGCACGTGTATGTCACTGATTCGCCCTCATTATAGCTGTGACCCTCTTGTATGACACGACCGTATGCCGGCCGACCGGGAAGTCCACACTGTATGGCTAATAATAATTAAATATTTATWTATAKTTTTAAATAGTTTTATTTGTATTTTTATATAAAATATGAATAAAATCTCAATTAWTCTATTGTGTTATYATTATTTAGTATGCAAATATGCTAATAAAAAWWTATAAAAATGTTTGTTAAATAAAGTAATAAATAATATTACTAACAYTACAATAAAATGTTATATAGTTAATAAATATAACAAATAAAAGCACTGTATTTTAAAATATATGTAAAAATTAATAACTACTGGCTTACCATTGATAACACATATCGATGACAATGACACCACAAAACACAAYAACAAATACATTGCAATAACTTTTTTTTAAATGTAGAACTCGTTTRCATCAATCAKTAACTAATTTTTGGGACAATAATGTTAAAAATAAAAACTATTTTATTATTATTTATATAATAATTGACAAAAATTAGTGTTTTGCATAATAATTACAAWAGTGTTTTCACTATTTATTTTGCATAAAATTATGAAAAATATTGTAAATATTTAATTTATATATAATCAAAACAATTAATAAACATAAATATTAAATAATTTATTTAGTTTAATATAGCACTTGTATTATTTGTATTAATAAACAGTATTTTCTTAAAATCAAATAAATTAATTTTTATAAAAACTAATCGCTTTAAAGTTAGAAACAATATTAAAAGTATAWAATAATTTTGTAAGTGTTTAAAGTTATGAAAAWTATTTATAATATGATAAATAGAATCTTATATTGTATTACAAGTTTCTATTTTTAGAGTCCTATAAATGATAAATGGCATACATTTTTATATAATATTATAAATACCTGTTTTATAAGTCCTACAAACTAATGAATACAATGTTTCTTGTGATGGCATTATAGTTGAAAAAAATATGTGATATTAAATGTTATATAAAAAACACTTAATTTATTTATTAAATGAGATTATAATATGATATAAACTTTTTTTCATATCACATCACTGTAGCAAATGTGTTTAACATTAACATCAATTGATGCGTTAAATTTTAAATATAAAAATAATTTTTAGTCACATTTTGWATCATTAAACAAATATTGTATATATAGTATGCATATTATTCGCATATCATATTTCATTATCCAATGCACATCAATACTTATCAAAAATTACAAAAATTAAGACATACAGCACTAAAAATGGGTATTTTTAATTCAAAATTAATAAATTATACAATAGTTGTAACACTTTTATATGTAAATAAAATAAATAAATATAGTATACACATTATATTTCAAAATAAATATAAAGTTTAAACATTACACTAACACAAATACACTATTTTTTTGCTTAACTTTTTAGTCTATTAGACTAAAAGCACAGTTAGMTATTAATGCATTTGTTTATGAGGTTGTGAACGGATGGAGTGAACATACAGTGTATAATACAGATGTTTCTATCGGAAGCCAACCTATTGAGGGCCAGTTGTGTTGTGAATCATCTAACTTATGCGTACAATCACTGCATAGTTATGGACTAATAAGATGCCAATTCATAGGACAGGAGGAAAGGCTGTGGTCTTCAAGTAGTTGTTTAGCTTCTGTACGATTGTGAAGCAACTCATATACACCGGGAAGTGCGGTCAACCGTTTACTTTATGCTCCTTCACTCACACTCACCCACTCTATTCATAACAATTCAATAGCTGGAGAAGCACAGGTAGGAAATGCATTATGATTTCAGGCACTATTGTCAATGAGTGGCACAAACAGTTGTGTATATGTTTAGCAGCACTGGAGGTATTACTGGTGTCATGAATAGACAGAAGGTTTGACTCTAAAATCGCCACAAAATTGTTTATAATATTTGATTTTATAATATTAGAGATTTTCTTGTGTCTTATTGAGAGAAAGTAAAAACTTTTGTATATTAAAAAACACAATAATTTTTGTTTATAATTATCTACACTTTTTTACTATACTTTTTGCGCTCAAAAGATAAGTTATTATATTTGTAGTATTATTATTCAAAAAATGTTTGAAACAATTACTACCATTGAAATATTATATTAGATATAAAATATATGTCTATTGTTACACATTATATTTGAATATAAATAATGCTTTTAAATATAAACTATTAATGTTTTAACAATTTATTTGCATAACAATTATTTTAGTGACTGTGTGTCATAAATATTATCAAAAAAGATACTTTAGATTCAAATCTAAATAGCTTACTATTATTACTAGTAAATAACCACAAAAACTGCATAATTAACAATACATTAGTTACGCAATATTTTAGTTTTTATGATTTTAAAAATAATTAAGTTAATAACTGTTTTAACACCTATTTTGAACTACATATCTAATACTGTACACAAAATGATTCAATTGTTATAAATTATGATKAAGTATAATAAATAGTAAACATAGACKCATAGTATTTGTCAATAGTATTAAATCAATTAATGACTTTTTAGTTATGCYTAATTTAAATCATATATATTATCGGGATTAAAAAATRACAAAATCGGGATATAAATCGGGAAATTAAATTTTGTTTTTTCTTATAGTACTAATAATAAATAGTTTATGTCACAAAATYGGTTATATTTATAATTTATTTTAAGTTTTTAATTGATTAAATGATTATAAAATGCATTTAGTTTTTATTTATAAACTATACTTTTTAGTAAACTACAATTGTAAACAAAAAATACATTAATTAATTCAAGTATTACAGTAAATATTTTTACAATACATACAAAACTAAAGTTTTTCTTCTGATACTTATCTTCTCATTCATTGAGTTAATATTGTATTAGTTGTATCGCTAATATTGTAATCAATATATATTTAAGTGTTATATCAATCAATATTTAGCGAATTTCGGGAAAAACACACTTAAATAGTGTTTTTCGGGATTTTGTCAAAAAACACCAAAAATTGGTTTTAATTTMATTCAAAATGGTTGCCATATTTCTATAAATATTAAATTCCAGACAATTTAATAAATAATAAAGTTTCGGGAATTCCCGAAGAAACATAGMTTTAGTTATAATTYAATAGATATAAKYAAACATAAATACTAATTGCTGGTCAACTTAATGGTTAAGTTAACTTAATTATTAATAAAGAAAAAATAATCAAATATTAGGCCACAAACTATTGTTTTTTTTAAAATTGTAATTTAATTAAATAATATTTAATTATACTGTAGTAATAATGATAATAAAATGTATATTTAATAAGTCAAAAAAGCATAAATAAAGTAACAAAAATATTTTGCATTAAAAAATCCTCATTAAATTTACAATCAATTAATCAAATTTACATTTAATTAGTTTTCACAAAACGGTTCGTCTTTAGATACTTGAAGATAGTGTACTCCACGACCAGGTTTTGTAATACTATAGAAACCCATACGAGAATCACCCCTTTTATTACATTTCTTGTGAATGAATTCCTCCCAATTGGGGCACTTGTATGCCGTACACTGGTATTGATCAGCATTGCTAAGCGAGGAGTCGTAATATAGTATAGCCGAGAGATGATTACACCATATATCTGATTGATCTTTACATCGGGGCTGATGTTTACCATTATGTGGATAGAAGTCGATGTGTCCAATGGGTTGAGTGAAACCAAACTCACCCTTTTTCGTATCTTTGCCGGCACTCGTGTGAATAACATCAACAAAATCTGCGTCATCTTTGGTTAGATGAGAACCGGGAAAGCCTTCAAAAAATGGTTGTGCCGGATCGAGGCCTAWTAGACAAAAAAACACATATAATTTTTTCTATACAGACATTAATACAACTACTAACCRGAAATGCGACCATAAGTCCACTGGTATTTTGATTTTGAGTTTTTGCCGGCAAATCCCGAGATTTGTGCCCCTAAACTAAAACCAATCAAATGGACATTTTTCGGTTCAAGTCCTAGTGATTTGATTAGACTATTAACAAAGTAAGTCACTTGATGTCCGACTAGTTGAGTATTGGCTGCCGCCTGTGGGAAATTGGGCGGTTGGGCACCATTTCCCCAGTCAACTATGATTACTGTACCAATTTGTCCGTATTTGAGAAGTGAATCTTTAAGATGAACCAATTCTTTTGTTTTACCCGTATTGTTATAGCCATGAATGACAAAAACCAGAGGTTTTTCAATATTAATAATATCCTGATCTTCCGATAAATCCGGAGTTACCTCCTGTTCCTCTTCAGGTGATTCGGATGTATAGGCTATGAATTTAATGTCGATTTTGTCGCGAGATTCAGGCAATAATTTTGTTTGTTTTAAAGGACCGGTTGTAGTAAAGCATCCGATGTCATCATAACATACTTTCGTTGAATTAATTATATTAATCAATGTTATACTAAATAATATTGTTATAATAATTTTCGGTGACAACATTTTCATAGATATTTTAGTATTTGTGATGTGTATCAATACAATCACAATTATTAAGTAAAATTTTTATAATTATTATATCAAGTTTTATAGTAATTTTATTCAACAAAAACAACAAAAAAATAAGTAATATATCATTTTAATTGCTTAATTAATTTGCTAACATTTGTTTTACTAATATAAGTTAATATACTGTATAATATAATAGACAATTCGAAAATATTTCATAATTATTAATGATATTTATTTTATTTTTAAGTATTAATATAATATTGAAACGGTTGAATATTACGGATAAAGTGACAGTATTTGGTCAATGAGTGGCTAACACTTCAGAAACGATATCCTGGTGTTTATGGTTAAGGTGTCGTTGAGTAACAACTATTTGGTCAGGAGATGACAGGTGTTGTGACGGCTATTATTGACAACCGTATTGTGCAATACCAACGGTGTAGTGCCTAATGTTTTATTTATGTTTATTATATGTTTAGATACTTACGATAGTCTACTATGCATTAAAATTGTGTTAAATATTAATATAAATATATAAAGTATTAATATATAAACTCATATTTGATTATTTATTCAAGTCGTTAATGTATTTTCCTTGAAAAGTTAATTATTATTTATTTTATCAATATTTATACTATACTTAAAGCATATAAACAACAAAGAGATTTTTAATTTTATTTTTTACATATATTTAAATTACACTTTTAAATTATAAAATTATATTTTAATCATTTTATTAATTCATCAAAATTGTATTTTCTATGAAAATGTTCACTATTTATTGATAAAAAAATGTGGTTATACATACTAAGCGTAAAATGTTTAAACATGAATTTAATTAAACATTAAAAGTTTAAATAACAATAGGTTTTCCGTTTCAATATAATATAATAAAATACTATATTATGATTATTATATTGCATAAAATGATTTCTATACAATAGTAAAGCAATCAATTATTAAATGCTTGTGATTAACGTTAAACAGATTTTAAAAATTTATTTTCATTTACTTAATAATTAGTACTAAATAAAAGATAGTAAAATTGACACTGGATTTATAAAATTAATTACACTATAATAAAATTTATGCTTTAATTAAATGATTAATAATATTTTACATTAAAAAACGAGATAATGTAAACAATATTAAAATTAAATATAATATATACTAGATTGTTTTTTAATAATAACAGCAAATTCAAGTAATTTAATTTAAACAAATAATATAAAAATTAGTTTTTAATATAGTTTTTTAGTATTTAGTAAATTTTGGACAAATATTTTATATAGTTTATTAATAAAACTAAAATTTAGTTTATAATATTAAAATTACTTTTTATATATATTACTTAATTTTTTATTGTTATAAAAAATTAAGTTAATAGTTATATAAATAAATTTTGTGCTAAATATATAGTTTTTTAATTTAACTTTTTTAATTTAATTTTATATTATTGTATATTTAATCAAAAAGATTTTTTAATCAAAATAAAAAACAATTTTAAATCTAAACTGAACTAAAATTAGAAAATAATTAATTATTGTAACTCAATATATAAAAATAAAATGAATTTACTATAATCTAAAAAACAAATTTAATTTATTAATTAATTAATACTAATAAATAATTTTATTATATATTTTTTTAAACATTCAAATTAAAATAAATAAATACATACTATTACTTAAATTAAAATTTTAAATACTATAAAAATATATTTTAAATAATTATATTGTTTAATTAACTACCACTATTTTTTCTAGTATAACTTATATTATAGTCTCAAAAGTGTTTCATAATTATTAATGATGACTTATTATAATTTTTAGCAATAATAGATATAATCAATATCAAAACATGAATCATATATTTTAGTAAAAATTAAAATAAAAATCATTGATAATTATGAAACACTTAATATGTGAAACTATCCAATACAAGTATATTATTTACAATATTAACTTATATTCATAAACCAAGTATTAGCAAATTAAATAAGCAATTAAGATTACATATTACTAATTTTATAGCTTTATTAATAAAATAATTTAGATAAAACTTTTTTATAATAATTTTATAGATTTTAGTTTATAATTTGTAGTTGTAATTATGCAGATCATAAAAATTGTAATATCTATGAAAAAATCTTTAAAATTATTATAAAACCAGTTGAAAATGCTAGAAAGCATTATCGAAAACAAATTTGAATTTTATGAATTTATCCAAATACTCGATAAAAACCCCACTTATGAATTAATAACATTATAGTGGGGTAAAATTCAGAGTAGGAGCTGTGTATACCCCCTCTATTGGATTTAGTTTAACTAAAACTACACACTGTGTATGTTATACACTCTATAATATACAGTACATTATAACATATACATGTATATATAGAAAGCAAGCAATAGTAGTCAAGTAATAGTAAATTAGTGTTACCTAACGTTACCTAACCTGGTGTACGCCCCGCAACCTAACCTAAATTTTAATGGTATTACACCATAATTAATAATTTCTAAATAATTACTTATATACACAATCAATAAACTATTAAGTGCTTATTATTGACCAATTAGTGTTTTCACTTAACTGTATGCTATACTGTGGTTGTACTGTATATTTGTATCAATGTGTAGCTTTAGTAGTGCTAAAACATTAGTTACGTTGTAATCTAATAGAGGGTGCAATCACAGCTCCTACTTTAAATTATATCCTTATAGTGAATAAAAATAATATATACTGTATATATGAAATATTAATTGTTTAAACTGTATATATTTATCTCAATAACTAACTCAATATTAGCACTACTGTATTGATCTCATCTATCATCTGAAAAGTCCGCTAAAGACCTATTGTGTCATCTCTATAGTTAAATATCGGATGACTCTCTCTCTCTCTTTCTCTCTTTCTCTCTCTCTCTCTCTCTCTCTCTCTCTTTCTCTCTCTCGTTCTCTCTTTTTTTCTTTCTTTCTTTCTTTCTTTCTTTCTCTCTCTCTCTCTCTCTCTCTCTCTCTCTCTCTCTCTCTCTCTCTCTCTCTCTCTCTCTCTCTCTCTCTCTGTACACCTTATAGTTTAACTAAATCATTATTGTCTTAATTGATTCAAATTAAACCACTCAAACCATAACAACTATGTGTATTCACACAATCCCTATCTACACACTTTTTAAGAAATAAAAAATTATTATAGTTTTATATAATTTTAATTTTTAGAAATAATATATTAAAATATAAAGTATAGAATACATGACTCTTTATGAAATGATTATTTAATAAAAAATATTTGTAATATATGTAAAGTATAAGTGCTTTATACTTAAATAACTTTATTTAGTATAACTAAATTTTAACCAAAACACTAATTTAATTATTGAATTATTATAAGTCATAGCACTGACCATAAATGTCATGCCTTGATATGCCTGTGCTTAACGACTGCAACTATTAAACTAATATTGTATTAAAAAATTCAGATTAAATAAAATAATTAAATGACTAATAATTTTTACATTTTTAAAAACTAAACAAATTACAATAACCAATATTAAAGTTAAATATAATTTATCGTTTTATAATAACTGATAAATATTTTAAACATAAATAATATTAAATATTAGTTTTTATGTATTTTTTATTATTTAGTAACCATTTTGAAGGACAAATATTTTTGCAGCTTTTGAATAAAATTTTTAAAAGTTTATAAAATTTAAATGATTTAAATTAAATATCACCTAATTTTTTGTTATAGTAATAAAAATATAGTATTTGTCAATATAACAAAATTTTGTGCTTCAATATACAGTATAGTATTTTTTGTATTAATTTTCTACTAATATTATTGTATTTTTTATCAAATTAATTTCAACTTCAAATAAATAATTTTCAATTTAAACTGAACTAAAACTGGCAAATATTGTAACTAAATATAAAAAAATAAAATAACAAACACATCAAAGATTTAGATTTTAATATAATTTTATTAATTAATAAATGTTTATAAAAATATTGTTGTAAATATGCAAATAAATAAATAAATACTATTAACCAAATTAAAATTGAAACTAAACTACTATATAAAAATTATACTGTTTAATTAGCTATCACTACTGCAAATCATTATAATTTTTAATTTGCCAACACTTGTTTACATCGTATAACTTATATTTTAAAAAGTTAATATACAGTACATTATAAAGTAAAAGAGTAGTAAGTGTTTCATAATTATTAATGATGACTTTTTTTTAATTTTTAGCAATAATATATGATTATAAAATAAAGCAATAAAATATTGCATAAAATAAATGAATTTCTCAATTATTTTGTAAAAAAATATTTTTTATTATATGATATACAATATCATTGTATAATCAATTAATTATTAAATGCTTTCGATAAACTGACTTTTTCAAAAAATTTTAAAAACTCAAACTAGTATTGAATAAATGATAATCAATAAAGTTGATAAATAAATTAGAAAATTAATATTTTTTAGAAAATTAAAGCTTAAATTTTTGAACCTAGCAATGTTTATAATTTTTAAAACAAAATCACGTAAATCAAGTTGCAAACATGAAACAGTAAATACTGTAAACAATATTAAATTAAAATATATACTGGATCGTTTTTAAAATAACTGAAAATTCTAAACAATTAAATTAAAACATATAATATATTTGTATTTATTCACTTATTTATTATTCGGTAAGCAGTTTGAAGGACAAATATTTTGAAAAGTTTTTGAATAATAGTTTTAAAATAATTTTAATTAAATATAACTTAATTTTTTGTTGCAATAATACTAAAAAATCTTATCATACAGTATAACTAAATTAGAGAGAGAGAGAGAGAGAGAGAGAGAGAGAGAGAGAGAGAGAGAGAGAGAGAGAGAGAGAGAGAGAGAGAGAGAGAGAGAGAGTTTAATAATAAAAATGGCCCCAACAATTTTTTTTTATAATATTTATTTTTATAATAGAGATTTTATTATGTCTTATTAAAAGAAAGTAAAAACTTTTCTATATTAATAAACATTATAATTTTGCTTATAATTATGCAAAAATGTGCTATAATAATATGAATTTTTTAATTATTTTTTATTACATAATCAAAATGTCATAATTTAATAGTAAATTAGTTTTTACAAAACGGATAATTTTGTGATACTTGAAGATAGTATACTCCACGACCAGGTTTTGTAATGCTGTAGAAACCCATACGCGAGGCATCCTTTTTATTGCATTTATTTTTGATGAGTTCATCCCAATTGTTGCACTTGTATGCCGTACACTGGCATTGATCAACACCGCTAAGCGATGCTTCGTAATAAAATATGGATGAGTAGTGATTACACGTGGGATCTAATTGTAGGGCACAGCGTGGCTGATGTTTACCATTGTTAGGATAAAAGTCAATGTCTCCAATCGGTCCAATAAAACCCAGTTCACCCACTGCCTCAAAATGGCCGGAACTCGTGTGAATAACATCAACAAATATAGCGTCATCTTTGGTTAGATGAGAACCGGGATAGCCTTCAAATTTTGGTTGTGCCGGATCGAGGCCTAGTAGTAAAAAACATATAATTGTCTCTATACAGACATACAATACATATTAATACTAACCAGAAATGCGACCGAAAGTCCAATTGTATTGTGATTTTGAGTATTTGGCGGCATATCCTGAGACGTGTGCACCCAAACTGAAACCAATCAGATGAACAGTTTGAGGGTCAAGTCCTCGTGACTTACGTAATGTTTCAACAAAGTAAGCCACTTGGCGTCCGACCACTTGAGTATTAGTGGCCGCTTTGTCGTATGTGATCAGTTCGGCCCCTTTTTCCCAGTCAACCATTACAACTGTTTCAATTTGACCGAAAAATTGAAGCGAGTCTTTAAGCTGAACCAATTCCTTAGACCTACCGCTGTTGCCATAGCCGTGAATAACAAAAACAATTGGTTTATCAACATTGATAACATTCAGACTGTCCAATGAATACGGATCGACCTCCAGTCCAACTTGTGGTGTCTGACTCGTGTAGGCATAGAATTTAGTGTTGATATAGTTAGGAGAGGCCGGCAATAATCCCGTTTGTTTCATAGGACCGTCTTTACTAAAGCATCCGATGTTGTCATAGCATACTTGCATTGAATTATTAATTAATGTTAAACTCGACAATATTGTTATAATAATTTTCGGGGACATTAACAACATTTTCATAATTATTATATATTTTTTAGTACAACTATTATTAACTAAGATCTTTAAAATTATTATAAAAAAGTTTTATCTAATGTTAATTTGTGAACACTTGTTTCACTTATATTAAGTTAATATAAATATAATAGATAGTTATAAAGTGTTTCATAATAATTATTATTAATGATATTTCTATAAATTGTTAGCAATAATACCAGCGTTGCAAAATATTTTCGATCTCAAGGGGGTATAGGGGAAGTAAAATGGCAAAAATATCGAAAAATCTTGGAGGGGGGTAATGAAGGCAATTAGAATGAAGGAATTAAACGACAATTTTTACCATATTTTAGTAAATTCCCAATAAACTTCCTAAAAATTTCCCATAAATTTTCCAAGAGAAAATATTCCTAACTTAATATTCTCTCAAACAAATATTTATTTTTACAAAAGTTAAGAAAATAAAGATAGTTTTGCATTAAAAAACATAAAAGTTAAAAACTACTTTAATAATTATTTGTTTTTAACTTTTAAAAGTATAATAATTAATTAAATAAATTATATAAATTTAGTACTCAAAAATACAATGTTTGTAATTTAAAAATTAATTATATTGTATTAATTTTTAAGTTTTAAAAAATAATAGTAGTTATTATTATATTATATATTATATATTATTATTATCGATATTATTATAAATATATAATAACAGACTAATAACAATTGTCAAAAATAATTATTAATATAAATAAATAATTTGGGATATCTTTATGTACATTAGTATTTTATATTGAACATTAATAATCACATTTTATTATAAAGTTTGAAAAATACACAATTATTAAGTAAGACCCAAATTATTATGATCTCAGGGGTAAAATGGCTTACCCCCTACCCCATCCATTTCGAAACCCTGATTACTACATATATGATAATAAAATAAAGCTATTATATTGCATAAAATAAATGCTAGATAATTTCGCAATTATTTTATAAAATAAAATATTTTTATATTAGTTAATCAATTAATTATTAAATTCATATGATAAATGTCTAACAGCTTATATTTTTTAAAATTTAATAAAATTTAGATTTATGGCCATTAGATAAATAGTAAGAAATAATTTATACTAAATTTAATTAACAACGAATTTATCAAATTACTTATATTTTTGAAACATTTAGGWTTAAATGAAATAACTAATAATTTTGTAAACTTTTTAAACAAAAAAAAACTTTAAACAATATTGAACTTACATATATACTGAATCGTTTTATATAATAACAACAAATGCAAATATTTTAATTTTAAAATAAATAATATTGAATAAAATTTTATAATTGTATTTATTAATCATTTGAAGGCAGATATGAATCGAATATCATTTGAATAAAACATTAAAATTCAGTTTATAATATTAAAATTTTATTTACTTTATATTTATATATTTTCTACATTTATGTTATTATATAAAATTAACTTAATTAACTTGTCATATAAAAAATTTTTGTTTTCAAAAAATATATACATATATATATATTATACTATAGTTTATCACACAATATAGCTTTAAAATCTTAAATTACAAAATAATCTTGTATTATACGGCATAATATTTATATGAATTAATAAATTAAGATTTGATGAGTTTTCTATATTTATATATTTAATGTTATTGATAAAAATTTTATGATTGAATATTAATATAATGTTTTATTTTTATTTTAATGTTTGGCTATAGTTTCAAAAATCCAATCTATATGTTTAGCTACCGGTACCCAAATGGCTCCTTTAACACCAGCCAYACAATGATTGTCTCCTCCATATGARCCCAAATATATACCAATCAATACACCACGAGTTTGATATTTATCTGTGAACTGCACTAAACCTGCACCGACATCACCCTATTTATAGATAATACATAAAAATTATGACATATATTATATATATGACTGACTTGACATCCAAAAGGTCGAAGAAATGATGGTCGCGAACACAATAGGTTTTGAGGACAATCACTGTTTGGACTAATAATAAACTCATTGGTCTGTAGTGACTGAGCCAATTGAGTTGTATATGTTTTGTCACCGGTTTCCTTATTAACATGTTTTGTAGTGAAAATCTCACCCCAACCGGCCATTGTTGCTAACTCTAGCTTCTCATTAAATACTATATGATTGGATGGTAAGCATACAGTATTTATCATAATTGGATAATAAAAACCTTGTCGTGGATCAATCCATCCGTAAAAAATCTCCTCTAATTTATACAATGCTATATCATTGACATTAAAGTCGTAATGTGTCTGAAACTTCTGGTGTCGATACACATTATGCCGACTAATCTTTAGTGCCCTACCTTTCATTCGGTTCTGACTATCGCCTATAAAGACACGTATTTCTGGAAATCGGGTGTCATTTATGTCACTGTTATTTAAAATGCAATTATTAGAAATATGAAATTTATTAGAAACTAAAATATACCCAAAGTTGCACCGGGCGGCAGTCAATATCCATTGTCTATCTATCAAAACTCCTGTACAATAAATGGCAACATTTTGTGTGGAACCATAATATTTAATGAGTACAGTCCAGGGAGATTCGCCCGGTTCAACACCAGTACCTTTAAATATTCTTGGCTCAGTTAGTTTCCAATGTCTATTGCCAAACGCGTCAACATATGGATAGTGCGATATCTTATTTTTAAAACATTTTTGTTGTGGTTTTATATTAAGCCGATATAAACCGTACTGATAGCCGCAAAATTCACTAAAACTTTGATTGAAATTTATGTTTACAAATATAGCTCCTGTAGTTTCTGTCAATATTGTAATAAATAATAATTGGTATAACAATTTCATTGTATAATTTCACTATAACTCTCAAAATTCTGTATGTTTTATTAAATTAATGTTTGAAAAAATATTGTAATACAAAGTCTATGGATAAATCTCGAAATTGTATTGAAGTAATGTTTCAAAAATTATAATCAATACATTTAAATTTCATGCGATAAACAATAACATACAGTAATTTGGATTATAATTTTTTAGTCAAACATTTCAAAATTTTCATATGTATAGTGAAACACTTTATATTTTATTATACTTTAATTACAAATTTTTAAATAAAGACAATGTTTAAACTCATAGGTATTCTATCATTTCTATAATTGAATTTGAATAGTAAATAATGATTTATATTTATCGTCTTTTATATCAGTTATTATATTCACGGGATATATAAATATAATGTCAGTGTTGGCGTCCAATAAATTTTGTGATCAATTAATGTCTGCCAACCGCACCAATACATTTGGTATAAAACAGGTGTCGACCACAAATAAATCGGAAATTTTGTATATATTTGTCAATGGTTTTCGGTGGCAATTAAAATTTGATACAATTAGTAAAAGACTTTTGATGTTAGATAACTATACAACTGTTCACTTGAATGACAATTATATTATTGGGATTTCATTACAAGACTATAGTTACGCCTTTATAAATGTATGTAAAAATAAAATATTTTCTAATATAAAATTACTATTACTTTAATATTAAATGTTTTGTGAAATTTTTTATAATAGAAAAGCTTTAAATATATCGATTATTATAATGTAACAAACGATTTGTTTGATTTTGTTGAACAAAAACTTAATTATTTAGCTGACAAATGGTGGTATATATTGCAAACTAATTATTCATATTTGATTTATAATATAAAGGATCAAAATAACTTCAATAATTCAATTAATTTTGTTGTTCAACAATACAACATAAATGACAATCAATACAAACGATATGTTTATTCGTATGAAAACAAGACAGACATGATTTTGACACAAAATCCTACTTTTAATAATACAATTCAAAGCTTAACCACAGATATCTCATTGTTTGCATTGTATGTACAACAAGACAGACAACAAAATGATGGTATTTTAGCCATATTTGAAGTGAATAATCAACTAAAGTACTGTTGGACCCAATGGTTAGATATGTCAATGTCGACAACGGTATAACCTATCAAAAATATACTGTATTATCAAATGAATTAGCTTTAATCAGTTAATTTTCTCGACATTATTAACTATAGTGTAAATATAATTTGAAAACATTAATTGATTGTCAGACAACAACATCATTTACATATTTAGTGACTTTAATTGTTTTTATAATAATTGTTATTATAGCAATTATTATTATTATTATATTAATTGGCATTTGGTTATACCAAAAAACAAGTGAATCATCCGGTAATCAAATTATATTTTAGTTTATTTTGTAATTTAAAATATTATCCTTTTTTCACTTACAATAAATAGGTTTCAGTTTAAATCGTAAAGCTATTGAAAAAAAGAAATTGGATTTATATTTTGATAGAAAAGAAAACTATTTACCATTTATTAACAAAAATTAAAATATTCATTTGTAATATAGTATTAACATATTAAGTATTGTTTCACACTATTACCGGTACTATAAGTTTATATAAGTAATATTTTTGCTAACAATTTTTATTTATTTTGTAAGTATAAAAAAATAAAAATCTTTAAAAATATAATAGACTATAAAATGATTATCTAAAATATTATATTATATTTTATTATTATTCAATTTACCGGTAATTTAAATTTCTCTAACAATATCTAAAATCCAATCAATATGTTTGGCCACAATAGTCTACATCAGTGATCAAAATTAAGTGTTATCATGATAACTTTGTGATACTTAAATAACATAACTAATTTAACAAATATTTAATAGTAATTTTCATAATTTATAACAAACAATGAGTAAGTTAAACAAACACTTACTCATTTAATATGTACTAGGTTATTTGTACAATTTTGTTTTATAAAGTTTAATTTTGATCACTGGTCTACATATTGTAAAATATGAACTGTTTGTCTAAAACAATTTGCTTGTGGACTGATTGTTACGTTAGTTATACCATAATTGAAACCGCACTGAAAATCGATAATACCCGGATAAAAGATTAAGTTGACTAATAAGCAAACAATGTCTGATATCAAACAAATCAATAAAATAGACTTTAAAATCATATTTTATGATAATTTATTTTTTATAGTCTGTGTTTTAAATATCTCGAGTAATGAAAATAATTTTTTATCAATTTGCTAACATTTTAAAAATCGCTCTATTTTTTTATTATTTAACTAAAATATTATAAATTTTATATAAAATCTATTTAATATTATCGATAATTAGATAAATTTAACTAATAATTTGAAATAATTATACAAAAAATAATAATATTGAATATTTTGAATACTATGAAAATAAAAGCATTAGTTTTTTTTATTTCACAAATTGTAAGAAATAATGAGTTAAATTCTGGACCGAACTGATCGCTCAACTGATCGCTCAACTGATCGCTCAACTGATCTCTTGGGCGACAATTTATTTGACGACTGACGAGAAGGTTTGGATACACTTTCAGTTTTGATATCTGTATTATATATAAAAGTTATTATTAAATTTTAGGATTCATTATTTTTTAATAATTGATAATAATATGCAACATATCATACATCTAAAGACAATGAAAGTCAAGGCAGAGATCAGTACTAATATCAGAAGAATGACGATTAATATCCAAAGAAAACTAAGACTTGAATTGATTTTTTGTGATTTAACTCTCTTTGGAAACGGATTATCGTAAATGTCATTTGCATTGCACGGTATATATTGGTTGCATTGATCGGATTGGGTAGCATTGGGTAAGACCTGTTTATAGCACTTATCATATCCTGTATTAGACAACTTATCGCATAAACCATTGTCCAAAACACGTCTAATTTCATACTGAATGGTAGAATAAAAGTCTTTGTCGGGAATATCGCAACGAATAAGTGCCTGAAAATAATGAACAAAAGTTTTTGGTGTGAAAAACAATAAAATGGTTATCCATTGAATACCGTACCTCACGAATCAAAATGCATTTAGTTTCGACTGATTTGCAACATTCAATGGACGGGTTATTATCAATGTTAGACCATCGAAGTGATGTACAATCCAAGACATTGCCTACAAATTCATAGACATTGATATCACAGTTAATGGGTTCCAAGCGGTCGAAACCAAAGGCTGTTTTTTCATCACTCTCTGACATCACTTGTCTACTGATGATAATCGTAACAAATGTCACAATTATAAGACTCATTAGTGACAAAATAAACATATTATGACTACAAGTAATACAAATGGTTTGTTGTTTGTCTTAAATAAACCGTTAGTTTGATATAACAATACAAATTCAATTGACTTTATTCTTTGAACGTTCATTAAAATTATTGTTGTCTTGAATACAGTTTTTATACATTAGTTTATTGTATCGAAACGAGAATTTGTTTTATTTTAATTACTAGTTTAGCTATTTTTTATGTTTAAATTTGTTTGGTGTTTGATTTGTTAATATCATACCTGTAGTAAAGTTCTCTATAGTTAATTAATATTAAGTTTGGTTTTATTTATTAATATTTCTATTATTTGTTAATTTGTTTGATATAATACAATAACATAATTATTAGTTTAAATATCTAAAGTACATTATGATATATTTTATAATATACCAGATATTAATTATCAAATAACTTGTTAATCTAAAGTAAACCAATAGTGCATATGTTTTTTATGTGAAATTTTGCATTTACTTTATTATAGTTAAAAAGATTATTGCATAAACTAAAACTTAACATACAGTACAGTACAATAATATAATTATAATTTATTGTTAACAAATATTCATTGATATATTGACAAAAAATTTATCTAATTTTTTATACACTAATATTTAAAAAATAACGATTATGTAATAGATGGGAAAATATATAAAGTTTATTATCCAGTTATTTATTTAATAAACACTTGTAAACTATAAAATATATCTTGAGTTTAATTGAGATAATACAAGTACAGTAAATATAAGTGATATTATTTTGTATAAATACTTTTAACTATTTTTGTTTCCATAAGTATAAAGTTAAACACTGTTTTACTAAAGTATTAAACAGTTATACAACTGATTGAACAGAAAAAATATTACACTAAAAGTATTATTTTTGATTATTATGTTAAAATGATTTTACAAATTATATTTTATTTATTAATAACATTAACAGGTAGTCCATTGAATATCAACTTTAATAAATTGTTTTTTTTAGTTTATTATTTTTATTAAAAAATTATTATAACTACTGGTATTCAGTTTCCAGGGCTCGTCGAGAGTGTATTGTAGAGCGGGTGCCAAATGCCGATACAGTGTGTGTCTGTAACGCAACATATTGTGATGACTTCCCGTCTCTTCAGACACCGAAATCAGGATTCGTAAACGTCTTCGAGAGTAATAAAGTCGGCGATCGGTTTAAACAAACACAACTCAAATTTAATAGCAATGGTCTTAAGTTTGGATCACTAAAGGCTGTTAACATTACAATCAACAAAACTATTAAATACCAGTCCATTAATGGGTTCGGTGCGGCTTTTACTGACTCAACGGGACAAATGTTAAAGAGTGTCAACGAATCGTTAGCTAATCTATTAATCGATAGTTATTTTTCTAAAGATGGTATCGAGTATTCAATGGGACGCATACCGATAGCCGGCACTGATTTTTCTGACCGTCCGTATAGTTATGACGATAACGATGGAGATCTGGATCTCAAACATTTTGCACTTCAAAGAGAAGATCTCGAGTGGAAAGTAAAATAATATAAAATATCAATTTGTTTGCCATAATATTTCAATAAGTTTGTTGTAAATGTTTTCATATATTTCAAAGATCCCATACATTAAAAAAGCGCTTTCTGTTAGTCCACATAAAGTCAAATTGTTTGGCAGTCCATGGAGTCCGCCCTCTTGGATGAAAACTAACCATAAATTCAATGAAAGCGGTGCCATAAGGGGTGATATCGGCGGTCAATACTATCAAAGTTGGGCCAACTATTTTGTTAAGTAAGTTGTCATATGAAATGTTTGCCAATTGAGTTATAATTAAAATTATTTATTAATTAAAACATTTTTAAAAAAATAGATTTTTGAATGCATACAAATCTCACGGTATTAGTCTATGGGGTGTGACCGTTGAAAACGAGCCAATTCAGGGCCAGAATCCTCATTACACGTTCAACTGTTTGAATCTAACAGCGCCGATGGAAAGGGATTTTGTAAAACTCAATTTAGGACCAACACTTGAAAAAGCTGGTTATGGAAAGGCCAGTGGTTTTAATTTGATGGTTTACGATGACAATACTGATCGCATTAAAGACTATTTGGTGCCTATATTATCGGACAAAGAAACGGCTAAATATGTTTCGGGTATCGCCTATCACTGGTATGCAAATCATCCGATGGGAGGCTTACCTGACGGTCTTCTAACTGAATTGCATAATACTTATACAAATCATTTCTTGTTGAACACTGAGGCCTGTCATCTGGACGGACCTAATTTGGGTCGATGGGATCATGCAGAAAAATACGCCTACGATATCATCCGAGCACTTAACAACTATGTGACCGGTTGGGTTGAATGGAATATGGCATTGGACATGGATGCGGGACCAAGGTGGAATGATAAACAAGGATTTGGAGGAACTGTAAATATTGATCCGAAAAAAGGGTTGGCCTACAAACAACCATCATTTTACGCAATCGGACACTTTAGTAAATTTGTATCACCCGAATCCATACGCATTGATTATAAAATTGATAAACCTATTGATGGCTTATCTGTGGTAACTTTGGTCAGACCTGACAACCAAAAAGTACTAATAGTTCTCAATGCCGGCAATGAAGACATTGTTTTAAACATTAAAGAGTCGGCTAATGTTGTGTCACATAAAATAGTGGGTCATTCAATTCAATCATATATTTGGTAAACAAATGTAAAACAAWAATAAATATAGATATATATATAATAAATATCACAATTAAATTGCATGCAATTCATTTTACAAWATATTTATTTATAGATATATTTTATTATAAAATATATATTATTTATATATTTATAAATTATTTTGCTTAAATATAAAATTACTAATCAAATTGTTTGATTGTATTAATTATCCAATTGGTATGCTTAGCCACTGATAAAAATAATGCTCCACTAATATGTGAATTACACTGTTTATCTGAACTATTATGTAAAAGTCGTCCCAAATAAATGCCAACTAATACAGCTCGTGAACGATACGAATCGATATATTGAACTAAACCGGCACCAGAATCACCCTAAAACAGTACAAAATATTATTAACAAATCCAAGTTTAATCAATTAGTATATTAAATACTGACACCACAACCCCTGGCTCTCAGAGTCTGTGATTTAAATAATGAGCACAAAAACGGTTGACAATTATGATCCAACAAAAAGTCTCCGATTTGTAAGGTTTGTGGTGTTAATGTAATTTCGCGGGAAGTGTATGTATTGCCCCAACCAAACATTGTTGCAAACTGTTTGTTTGTATTATAGTGGGTTTCATTGGTTGGTAAACATACTGTATTAACCATTGTATCAAATGTTGTATCAGTATTTAAGATGTTATTTAATGGTAAATCTATGTCATTATTTAACTTATATAATGCAATATCGTATTGTCTGAATTTATTTTTTTGAACGATGGGTGTCTATAGATTTTATCAATTGATACTAAATGAATAGTTCTGTCCTCCCTGTGCTCACCATTGCCGACAAATACACGAATTCTCGGATAAACAGGTTTATTACCGGTTCTGAAAAGTCAATATTGCACTATTAGTTTTAACTAAAATTTATTTTGGCTTAAATCTAGTTTATAGACAGTCAGTTAAAAAAAACTATTTATACTGTTATACATATAATATGATAATTTTATTACTTAATTATTACTTAGTTAGGTTAGTTTGTTGTGAGTGAGAGGGTAGGAAGTGTTTGGGTAAGTGATTATGGGTTTGGGTAAAATAATTTTTCTACTGACTGTCTATAATCTAGATTTGTTATAATTAGTTGTAACACACACACACACACACACACACACACACACACACACACACACACACATACCCAGAATTGCAATGTGCGGCCGTTATGATCCACCGTTTGTTGATAATACTACCGGTGCAAAATGAAAAAAGATTAGTATTAAATAGATTGTCATATTTAATGAACACAGTCCAGGGTGACTCTCCCGGCTCAACATTACGACCGCCATATATCCTATAATCGGTGGATAAGTTTGGTTTAAAATACTTGACACCAAACGAGTCAACTATCTGTATGTCTTTTACGTCGTGATTAAAACATCTGAGCTGTGGTTTCAATGTTATCTGTTGTACACCATATGTATAGCCACAGTAATCAGTGGTAACACCCGGATAATCGCCTATTTTTACAAACATTGATTTTACAACATATATAGACATTGATAAACATACATAAATTGACACATAATTTATATAACATTTTAGCATTTTTTCCGTTGGTTTTATAAAATTAATTAAAATTGTTTTTGAAAATGAAAAATGAAAAATGAAAATCAAATCAGTTAACAATGTGAGTCCTTATAAAATACATTTATACCATATTTTTAGTAATATATATTATATATACACATTATTATACATGAGAGTTATCATAATAAGAAAATGCAAACTAAAATTAAAATCATTAAATTAGTTTTATTATTAATATGACAATATACAGTAAATGTATAAAATTTTGTTTGTAAATAACTAAATAGTAAAGTTTTTACTGTAATTACAAAAAAATATAATTACAATAAAATTTGATGCATTAAATGATAATAACAATGAGATGCCATCAATAGTTCAATCAATTTGATGCCTAAGCTTTGGTTAATGACAGATGAAATACCATTTAGTGTTGAGTTTTCTGGATGTACTGTCATTGATGTAACAGTGATATGATTGCCTGTAGATATTGGAGTCGAGTTGTTTGATGGTCTCTTGTTGACTGTAGTAGTGTTAGCAGTATTATCGACATTGCTTTCGGTATCCATCTGACCATCGGCGGGAAGATTGGGTGTTGTATGAGTTGGTATAATCTTAGGGGTAACTCCTTTGACAGGGATGTCATCCGGTTGACATGGCAACCATTGATCACAGACGGCATCCTTCATAGTTTTAGTTTTCAATTCGCGACAAATTTTAATTAATATGTTGTGAACAACACATTCAGTTATAAGCATATTATGAATCTTTTCCTTAATTATTGGGGCATAATCTGTAGGAATGTCCTCACACATGGCTAAAGTCTATTTAAGTGATAATAGATCTGTTAATTATCTAAAATTTTGTTTAACAAATAGTAATTAATACCACTTTGTTGTCAATACACAAGTTTTCAAGTTTCAAACAACAGTTATCCACACTAACGTCACCTGAACTACCTGTCCATCGATCAACTGAACAATTCTTTAATTTAGATTTCAAAGACATAGCATTTCCATCGCATACGGGWTTCCAGAGACTCTCATTTGTCGTTGTTGTTGTTATCGTTATTTGCGACACGACTGTCCCAATTGATGTAAATGCATACAACAACACAAGTGTGACACAAATAAATTGTGGCACTGTTTTGATTGATGTGATAATGTACCACATATTGGCCCACAACTGTCCAATATATTTGTTTAAATAATTTTGGATATTTTGTACTCTAGTTTTCATATAAAATAGATTTAATGGTATTTAAATATGGGCTTCGTTTTGATATTGTATGCGCGTGCAGTACAACAGTGTATTAWATTCATTGATTATATTAAATGCGCGTGAAATAACTTAAATTTATTTATTTATTTTAAGTTATAGACTAATATCTATCATATTTTAGTTTAGTCACCTATATATATATATATATATATAGTATATATTATTCCATCCATACCTTGACTTATCCCTCACAAACCAATCCACGCCACACACAAACCACTTCCTAACCTCACACCCCACCCCCACCACCACCTAAACTAAACCAAATAGGGATATTACAAGGCATTTAGTGCACTATAAAAACGAACCCCATATTCAGGAGATGATCCGATTTAATTTACTTTATTTTATTGACGCGCGACCTAATCTAAACTCACATCAAATATAAAGCGAGACAACAAAAGCAATATTAAAATAAAAACTTATAAAACAAAGTTATCTTCCTTTCAAACTTATAAGTTATAACTTTTAATATCTATCAATAAATCAAAAAAAGTACACAACTTTTACATTATAAAATTGTTAAAAATCATATCATATGAATTATAATAATTACAATAATTATAAATGTTTTTAAAACTTACAATATATATATATATATATATATATATATATATTTATACACAAAACTTATTGTCAAATTACATAATGTCTATTTAACTGCTGTACAATAAAATATAAATTTAATAGTTATATAAGATATAATTTATATAAAATGTATGTTTGAAAATACTATTATACAATATTAATATAAAATTGCAGATTTTAGTTATGAATTTCTTGTAAATATATTTTGTGATTAATCAATTTATTTTGAAAATTAAAATTGTTTATTCTTAAAACTTTGAAATTAATATTCATTTATAAATATTTTGAATAATATAAAAATATTGTTTTTATATACATTTCAGTAACTAATTATTAAATTGACTTTTATAAAATGTTATTGAATTATAACAAATAAATAGCACAAATTATTAACTATTATCTTCAATCGTTTCAATAATCCAATCGATATGTTTTACAACTGACACCCAAAATAAACCCACAATTGATTCATTACAATAGTGTGAACCGGAATGACCGACATATACCCCAATGAGTATAGCACGGGTTCGGTGCCAATCAGTATATTGAACTAAACCGGCACCTGAGTCACCCTATGTTAATAATAATAATATATTTAAACATTATTTTTAATTAATTTGAAATACAAACCGCACAGCCTCTGGTTTTCATAGGGTGTGGCGATTGTAAGCTAAATTGTGTACATAAAAACATGTTTCTACAGTAACGGTTTGACTCGAGTAGAAATTGGCCACTTTGTAGTATATGTGGACTATGTCCCGGTGCATCTATATGTCCCCAACCAAACATTGTTGCAAACTGTCTCTCACTATTAAACTCGGGATCCCATTCATGTGGCAAACAAACAGTATTAACCAAATTTTCAATCATTTTAAACGATTGGCGAATTGATCGATTGATGCGATCACTTATATCATAATTAAGTTTATATAATGCAATATCGTATACACTTAATCTATTTCTTAACCTATATTTTGGGTGTCGGTATATCTGATCGCTAAATACCCGAACAATAGTACCTCTACGATGACTATTGCCGACAAACACACGAATTCTTGTAAAAATATTTTGATTGTGAGAAGACTTTCTGAAAAATATACTCAATATTTATGTTTATGTTTAGTATTAATTAATTAAATAACTAAATAGTTAAAAACAAGTAATAAAACTATAGACTTACCTATAGTTACAATGTGCRGCAGTTATTATCCATTGTTTATTAATTATAGTACCGGTGCAACTCATTTGCCTCCAAGCATCAAAATCATCATAGATAATGGAAACCGTCCATGGTGATTCACCATATTCAACATCCTGTCCCATATGTATCCGATTTTCAGACAACCCAAATGGTTTATAATACTTTATATTACCGATCACATCGACAAACGGTATGACGGGAACAGTATGTTTGAAACATACCTGTTTTGGTCTAATCGATATACTTCTTATACTAAAACTATGTCCACAATTATCATCAGTAATGTTTGGATAGTGACCAATGGTTACAAATGTCGCACAAATATCTAAATTTAAATTATTTCAAAACTAAATATTAATATAAAAATAAATTATATAATTTGAAATGTTTACAATTATGTTTGTAACTTATATTGAAAAATAAATATATGGTAATTTGAATTATTAAAATAAGATACGATATCATTATAAGATTTGCCAATTAAACAATTTATTATTTAGTATCAAATCATTTAGTGTTACTTATAAATAAATTAAAATAGTTTTGTTGGTTTGTAACTTAACAATGATTTTCAATGGGTCACGAGATTTAAGTGTTTTGAAAAATACATTTAAGTTTTTTTTTAAATTATTTGTCTCGAAATTAATTTTAAAAGCTATATAATAAACAATAAAACATTGAACTAAACTAATCAATATAACCTCACATCACACCTCCCACTCTTCATATTAAAAACCCAAACAAACCACTTCTTACTTCACCCGAGACTTTAATATTTGCAAAAACAAAACAATTTATAAATAATTATTTTCTCATTTTTTCGGCCTATGTTTATATCAACATCTTTGTTATTCACTAATAATATGTTAACAAAAATATTTGAACAATTGCTTGTATTATCTGTGCTTTTATCAGTAATTACGGCAATATTTGTAAAAATGGGTGACTATCCCGGTATCACTGACACTGAATATTGTGGTATAAGTCACAGTCCGGTTGTTGTGTCAATTACACCAAAGTCTAAGTGTTATAAACATGAAGTACCGCTTATTAAGTTTGTAGATATGATCGGTAATCGACATTTTAAGCCATCACCTCTACAAACACCATCACAAAGCAGAATATACAATGGACGTAATAGTGAAATAGGTGAATCACCATGGACAGTTATGATTAAATATAACCAGTTTCCAACAAACAATTATATGCGCTGTACAGGTGTGCTAATACATCCCCAATGGATTTTAACGGCCGCTCATTGTAATTATAAGTGAGTATTATATAAGTAGAAAATTATTTAGACATGTATTATATCAACAGTTGGTTTTACCTACAAATGTATATAATTACTCAATAGAAAAGACTCGGATCATAATCACAATTCTATGTCACATATTCGAGCATTCATTGGTGATAACCAGCACCGGGAGGGCGGTCTGATTTCATCGATCAAAGAGAAAAATGTGCACAGACATCCCAATTATTTATCTAATGGTGACCCAGAGTCAGATATAGCTCTATATAAACTGGACACAGGTATGAACGCCTTAATACATGTATCGCTGAAAGAGTCAATGCAAAGGCTGAAGATTGGCACCGTTTGTTTGCCAACAAACGACACTGTTATCAATAAAGACCGACAAAATGCAACTATGTTTGGATGGGGACCTAAATACAGGAAACGAATAGTTACTAGTGATATACATACTGTTAAATTTGATATCAAAGAGTCAATGCAACTACAAAGTGGTGACTTTGTTTTGGACGCATACCCTAATTGTGACAAATTTTTGTGTACTCGATATGAATTACATCCGGAAGCTATGCGAGTCAGTGGATGTATGGTAAGGCATACATTAGTACAGTATTAGCATTATTATTGGAAAATAACTCTTTTATTATTGATATAATTAGGGCGATGAAGGGGCAGGTCTTGTCCACTACAACGACACTTACCGAACCAAAGCTGTATTGATTGGCATATTTGTTGGTTCATCTAATAGTGAATCCGATAAGTTTTTTGGTGTCAATTGTAACGAACAGGTTAAACGACTGTTTTGGGTATCAGTGCCCAAACATATTAAATGGATTATTAACACAATTAAAGACTATCCTTTAAATTGTTAAAATTTGGTTCATTTTATTTTTAAATACAATATAATTGTTTTATTTAATCTATATTCTTATTAATTTATATCAAAACCAATATTTAAAATGTTAATTAAAATAAATAACTAAATGTGTTGTTATATAAGTTTTGAGTTGTTTCTAAAACATTTTTTTTGTTATAACAGTTTGAATACAGTAATACAATTTATTATTTTTTATTTATTTAATCTTATTTTTGTTAATGTTATAAACCTTTATTTTATAATCTATAAGTATTTAAACTCTATTGATATAAATAGTAGTGATAATGTTATTTAATAAATGTCAATAATWTATAATTTTCAAGCATATATAATCTTTAATCTTATCAATTATATTTTAACTAAATCTAGCTTGTTACAATTTCATTTTAAGTTATTGAGAAAACTGGTATTCAAACATATTGTATTTTTAAATAGTTTTATAATTATTATTTGAATGTTATTAATGTAAAAAATATTAATTATAAAAGTGTGATATATTTTGCTAAAAGTTTGATTAATGAAAAAATAAATAAATAATTTTTAAAAAATTACATTATTATAAAAATGTTTGAAAATATACGACAAAAATTAAGTACAATTTTAATTATAATATTTGCAATATTAGGTTTAATTACTAACACTGTGTTTGTTGTTTTTGCATCAATTTATAAAAATGTTCACTGTTTGCCATTTGCATTATTTTCAAGTAAGTAATAATATAAATGACAAAATTAAACTAATAAACAATTATTTTATATTTAATATACAAAAATTTACAATTAATTATCAGAATAATTTTATGTAAACTAATAAACTATTTATATAAAATATATACTGTTATTAAACATTGGTTTAATTTCAATTGAAAACATTTAGTGTTATTATCCTGTTTGGTAATCTACRTATATTATTTTGAATATCGTGATACAATGTGGGATAAAATTAATAAATTATATTTAACAATAACCATAATTGTGTCAATATTTTTGTTGGTTTTTATCATATTTTTTCTAATCGCTTATTTATCTTTAGCCATCAGATATATGAATGGTTTGTTGTTATCTAAAAATATAATTACTAATTAATTTTATTAATTTTAAAAATTTATTTATCAATTATGAAATATAGTTTACGACTTTTCAGTGGTTAACACCAAGGCTTCCGATAATATGATATATGAAAGAAATAACTATTGGCCAGTTGTTACGTGTTTGCTATTTATATTTATTTGGATTATATTAATAATCGATATCTCAAGAAAACAATGTCTTAGATTACCGGTCAGTGATAAACATAATAAATCTATGGGTGCCGATAGAAATCTGTCAATTGTTAGCTATTACGAGGGATAGTTAACTAATAAATACATCAATTTAATGTAATTTTATAAATTATATTTAACAATAACTATAATTGTATAAATATTTTTCTAATTAACTTATTGCTATTTCAGATATATTGTATAAAAAGTTACTTAATAATTATTTGTTAAATATTAAAATGTTGCATTTATTGGATTATATAATTTAATTATTATTAATTATTATTATAATTAGATTATTAATTATTAAAAATATATTAAATATCTAAAAATGTTTTCTAAAAATAATATTAATGATTTCTACTTAATTATTATGATTTATTTTAAAACATCATATATTAATAAAATACATCTTATTTTTAAATGCTAAAAATATTTATTTGAAAACACATTTAAAATACATTTAATTATACAATAATATTGATAAGTGTTTTATATTTAGAAAAGAGTTGGTATTTTAGATGCGCCCACCAATGAACCCAATTTTCCCAATCGACGCAATTCAAGGGTAAACATCTTAAGATTACGGCAGTGTTGGTCATCCGGCAGATCCTGACTTTGGGAACACTGTTTGCCAGAAGAATATAACTCTCCGTAAAGATTCTTCATCTACAAAAAAAAAAATACATTTTAAAAAATAATTAGTCTATTTTAAATACATGATATATACTGTATAATACCTGTGTAATAACCGATGCCATGGGTGGTGAAGCACCCTTCAATAGGCAGCCACCGGCACCCATAACGGTTTCAATGATGGGAAGGCTGACACTGAACTCGGTCAGAGCTAACCCGTTTTTTTCAAGCAAATTGCATTCAACCTCATCATTGATATGCTTTGCCCGATAAGCCTCGTCACACATTATATACTCAGTCATTGTTGCGATCTCTTTAATTGCCGACGTTTTTACCTTTTGGTTTTGAGTAGTGTTTAATACCTTTAGTTCACCAGTTGGTCCCATAATAGCCATAACTCCCTTTCCGTAATCATTATTAAAAGTGTCGTAACAAACTAATCCCTGTGCTTTGGCAGCTGAGGCTCGTTTTGCTACCATTTCTGAGGCATCGACAAGATTTTGTTGAGTTCGTGCAAACAGTTGATCTTCAGACAAATTCGTCAGTTCTTTAACTCTTTGTTTAGCGCATTGTATGAACTCTTTGTCTTCCGACAGATTGGCTGTGACTGACAATCAAATAAAAAATATTAAATTAATGTTAAAATTATTTTGTATATAATTTTATCAAATAAAAAATAATTACCCAAACATATGAATAGACTTAATACAAGAATTTGAATCATTTTCAGTAAAATATTGTTTTTATAAACACTTTTAATTGTTTTAAACAATATATTAAACAAAATTATTCTATACTATCTGAAAAATAGTCAGTATTTATATAAAAAAATAATTTTATTATTGAACATATTTATTACAAAATTTGCTGTCAAAGAAACATATTTTCTAGATTTATTACTTTAAATTTTTATATAAATTATGCAATATTTAAATATACTTACTATAGTAAACTTCACAATATTTATTTATAATTAATAATAATAAATGTTGTATTATTATACTACATACTGTATTTATATAATTAATTGTTTTGACCAAATAAATCAATGAAAGTATTCTTTACCGGTAATTAAATATTACACATATTTGTACAATTAATTGATTATTTCTTTAACCATATTAAACATGTGTTATTCAACGAAATTTTTTATTTCTTGTATTTTGTATTTGTTTAAATCAYTATATTATTACTTTGGCTTAATTTWTAAATAATAATAATTTTAAAACTTCTAATAWATRTTTTATTAATTTTTTAATTAGATTAAGATATAATTAGATAAATAATTAATGCTAGAAAMATTTTGTGGRAACATATAATCAATACTCTAATCGAAAATTCAAATAAATTTTATTTAAATAAATTTTTAATATATTAATTATATGACAAAAATTTATAATTAGAATTATTAAAWGTAAATATTATTATTTATAATTTTAAACTAATATATAAAATAATAAACTGTAATTTATAATTATTTATAATATACTTCAAATTATTTAATATATTTAATATTAYATATCATTATCAACATCAATATTATATTGAGATCTATTATTACTTTTCAATAGTTGTAAAATATTTTCATATAAATGATTATTTTCTAACTGTGCTTTAAGCACCTGATTCAACATAATTGACATATCATTTAACTTATTGTCTACTTTAGACATCCTATAGTTCAAAGCCAATCTGGACTCGTTGTATGTCTTTAACGACTTTTGTGTAATGGACTCAACGGYCGTGATTTTTGTGGTAATTTGTTTGACTTTGATTAGCATCTCGTGGTGACCATTGGTGTACTGTTCCAACACATCCTTCACATCGTATGGCTTTAAGGCCTGTGAGAAGTGCTTCTGTGCGACAAAATATTTGCACCGAAGTATAAATCGGAAACAAATCTTTTCAATTTCATTCAACTCCTTCTGAYGYTTCTTTGTCGGCAAATTTGCGCCGATATGTATGGCTCCAACATTTGTCGSATTTTTGTAAAAATAATATAACCGCCAACAAGATTGTATGAGCTCAGCCCAGTATTAATAYWGTAKTAATAWTGATAAACATTATTGTATAATAAAATTATATTTTTATGTTTCATACGCTGGTATTTTACGTTTGCATTGCTGTCTCACTCGTTGCTGTTCCTGAACCTAATGTACAGTAATAATATAGTTAACAAATTAATAAAAAAAAATTAATTATACATATAAATAATATTATTATCTTTTTATTATCTAATAARAAATAAATTACTAATTTAGTATTAAACAAAAAACAGTARTAAATTTTAAATAAAATAGTAATACTTTAAAAATATATAATTAATAAATTAATTATTATTTATATATTTACATATTAGCTATTAAAATAGTTTAATTATAAGTTTAATATAAAAATAAATAGTTTTAAATYAATAAATTWATRTTATTTAGCTTATGAAAATTAATCARTTGAAATAGTTAGTAGCATTTAAATTGAAAAATAATRTTTACATATTATTACTTTTAAAGTAATTTATGAAAATACCTTTAATGCCAATCCCGTACCTAATATACCGGCGGGTAATGCAAAWACTGCTACACCGATAATGGAGCAAATGCTGGCCAATACCTTTCCCTGAGCTGTAATCGGATATATATCTCCATAACCTATGATAATATTRAAAAARTAGTCAGATTTTATTTTTTTTTTAAATTTGAAATTAAATAAWTTTGTTACCAATAGTGCAAAGTGTTACAACTGAATACCACAATCCTTGGCCTAAATTATTAAACAATGGATTGTAATCTTTTTCCACAAAATATATGAGAAATGATGTGATAAATAATGCTAAAAATGAACAATAAGTAGCTGTAAACAAATTAATTKATTAWTTAATTAATTAATTTTAATATTTAGTCAATTTTTGAATGCAATGTATTTACTAATATAAAGGTGCTCTCTTTGTGACCAAATAACTGATGCCATTACACGCCATGGTCTGAACTGATGCTCCAGACGTATCAATTTGAATGACTGAAAAAACCGAATCCCTTTAAGGGATGGCGTCATATAACCTTCTTTTACATTGAAGCCAACGATAAGAGCCGATGATATGATTACCAAWAGGTCGAGTATACGGAAAGGGTTGATTAGAAARCGTATCTTTCCTCKGAGTCCTCTATAATGAGATATACAATCTGATGCCCAAAAGTGAAGCAARTATTCAATAGATAATATAATCAACAATAGGATGTCCACACCAAACAATATTTGATTTAATATAAATGGTAACTCTAAATTTTAATCATTCAMTTTAGTTATACAGTAAAAAAAAGTTTATATWATGTTTGACTTACCATCAAATGTACAAAGTATTGTTAACAATAAACATAACATAACCAACAATGAAATAATTATATGATATCCTCKACTGACATGTCCTTTAGGGTCGTGAATAAATCTATAGACTTTTGTCTTATATTTCAACCATTTATATGATGTGTGCGATACAGATATTGTCCGTTTTTGGTCSGATTTKATTTGTTTAKTAAGTATCAGTCCTTTTCGTTTGAATGATAAATAATTATTTAAAGCTTCAATCATTGTCTGGTAATACGATAAGGAATGTTGTTTATTAATAGACTCACCATTATTTTTGGTACCATCACCACCACTACTACTACTACTGAGTGAACTTTGAGCACCGGACGATTCTACATCGGCATCAATATGACAATAATGTTTATTTTGTATATTCATTAGTAAATACTTTTGTATAATTTATTATCARTTGACATATAATCAATGTTAATAAAATATTWATTTTTTAATTTATTTCATMTTTTTYAGTTTAATATAGAAATTCAATTTTATTGTTATTTCTTAACATTAAAAACACATTAATTCCTTTTAAAAACAATAAATAAAAATAAATAATTTAAATKTAATTTTAAATTATAATTARATGATGACATTAACACAKCTTTTCACAAATTTTATAAAAATAGTATATTACTAAAAATCTTAATCAAATTAATATAACATTAGTTTATAATTTTAAGGGTAAAAATGTAATTTAAGTATACCTGTATACTGTATACATAATTATATATTTATATATAATTTTCTTAATTATTTATTAGTTTAATTAGATTTTTAAATAAAATAGTCTKTTTTCTTGATAATTTAAATATAAGTTTAAATAAGTAATACATGTACAAACTGTTAATAATCACAAAAAAGTTAYTTTAATTATATTTTTTATTATTGTTATTTACAAATTATACATTAAATTATAATTATAATCTGTATAATTTCTTAAATGTCTGTTTGCAAACATTGAATTAGTTATTTGTTAAAAAATTAAATCATTATCTTTATAATGTTGTCAAAAACTGCCAAAACTAATCTTTAATTTATACTTTATTTTTTACATAATGGGAAATGATGTGCAAATATTTTGTTAGTTTTATTATWGTTGAATATATGATACAGTATAATTATAATTTAATACAATAGTAAACTAATATAGTATTTAACAACTAYTTGCAGTTAGTATTATTTATAGCTATCATAAATGATTAAAATTATTAGAAAATAATTTATCTTTTTATTATAGTATACCAATAAAATTATTATTAGTATACTTTACTAAATAAATACAATTAATTCAGTGAATGATTAAAATATTAGTATTTATATATTTAGRGATTTGGAAAAGTCTTGATTTAAATATATTTATTGCAAGGATTTTCAGATATTATTATTAATACAGTATTTACTGTATTATATAATGTATGTATTGTATTAAAAAAACATAGGAAAAGCCGCTATTATAAATTGTTGCCAATTCATTATGACTAATGAATGATAATATTTTTAAGTATAAAAGACAAATTAATAAATTAATAAATTAAYTATTAATATATAAAATACTGTAATAGTTTAGGCGTTGATTTGCATTTTAAAAAAGTGGTGAAAAGTATTAAWTATTAGAATTTACTGTATTTCTAACAAATAATTGTTTTTATTTTGTTATTTAATATAATATAATTAATATTTAGTCACAAAATAATATTTTTTTTTAAATTTTAATGTTTGAATACATTAACCTAAACTAACGCTAATTCTGAATGATATACTCAAAGTGTTGTTCCCACTCCTCGTTAGTGGTAATGATAAAGAGTAYCCACAAGACAATAGTAGCCACCAGTGTTTCCAAAGCAATGGCCCACTTATACACCATAAAGTCGGTACGCGTCAGAAATGTACGCATCTTTTGCACGTGAAGTTGATTGTAGCGCACGAGATATCTATTGTAGTGATTGATGTCTAATCGATACAACATAAACAGCAACGACATGAGTAGCAGTGACACGACTACAGTACATATAAACTGTGGCAACACTTTGTCTGAGGCCCGGCTGACAAACTGCCAAAAGAAAACCTTTTTCTTAATTATAGTGTTTTTGTAGTATGCCTTACATACGGGACACAATAAATTGTCRCTTGACTCTAGCCATTGCAATAGACACTGTCGGTGAACATACTTTAGACTACCTGAGCAATTGCATGGACTGATTAACTCGTTTTGATCAGTCGACTCCTCTTTACARATACGACATTCTTTAGTTATATTCATTGATAATTTGGAAAWTTTAATCTCTTTYTCTCTTAATTTTTAAGTTTTTATTTTTGTCTGTAAATATATTGTTGTATTTCACGGAATATTATTTTTTTAATCAAAAGAAATAAGAAAATAGTTTTTTTTTTACTAATTATGGTTACAATATTACCAAAGTATTACCAAATATTTGTATTTAATTAATAGTTTTTTAGCTAATTATATATTTTTTATGAATTAATTTAATCGATTTGTTTATTTATTATTTATCATTAAATACATAACAATTTTAATAAATCGTTTAAAATAGTCATAAATTTATTTATAATTGTTATCAGTATTTRTGATAYMATAAATTTATATATGAATAAAGTTTTGTGTATTAAAATAATTAAAAATTACCACAAGTTTGAAACAAATGTAACTTTTAATGTATTTATTTATTTTAAAMCGGTAATGTTTATTTAAATTGGMAAAATATTTTTATATTTAATATTAATRAATTGWTTTTAATCTTAAACAAAAAATATAWACAGTAAGCTCAGTGATACCAATAATAAACAAAATATGTTTTTGTGAAACTTCATATTTTCAAGGTTTCTATTGACAATTAATTAACGATACGTATAGTATTTAATTTTAAATATCTTTTTTAAAATTAAGACTTTCTATTTTATTATAATTGTTTTATTTAAATAATTATATTTATTTTAACTTTATTAGAAATTATTCTATTTTCAGATACTATTAATAATTTAATAAATTAATAAAAGTTATTTTTAAATGCTAAAAATATTTATTTGAAAACACAATTAAACTATATTTAATTATATTACAATAATATTGATAAGTGTTTTATATTTAGAAAAGAGTTGGTATTTTAGATGCGCCCACCAATGAACCCAATTTTCCCAATCGACGCAATTCAAGGGTAAACATCTTAAGATTACGGCAGTGTTGGTCAGCCGGAAGATCCTGACTTTGGGAACACTGTTTGCCAGCAGAATATAATTCTCCGTAAAGATTCTTCATCTACAAAAAAATACATTTTAAAAAATAATTAGTCTATTTTAAATTACATGATATATACTGTATAATACCTGTGTAATAACCGATGCCATGGGTGGTGAAGCACCCTTCAATAGGCAGCCACCGGCACCCATAACGGTTTCAATGATCGGAAGGCTGACACTGAACTCAGTCAGAGCTAACCCCCTTTTTTCAAGCAAATTGCATTCAACCTCATCGTTGATATGTTTTGCCCGATAAGCCTCGTCACACATTATATACTCAGTCATTGTTGCGATCTCTTTAATTGCCGACGATTTTACCTTTTGGTTTTGAGTAGTGTTCAACACCTTTAGTTCACCAGTTGGTCCCATAATAGCCATAACTCCCTTTCCGTAATCATTGTTAAAAATGTCGTAACAAACTAATCCCTGTGCTTTGGCAGCTGAGGCTCGTTTTGCTACCATTTCTGAGGCATCGACAAGATTTTGTTGAGTTCGTGCAAACAGTTGATCTTCAGACAAATTCGTCAGTTCTTTAACTCTTTGTTTAGCGCATTGTATGAACTCTTTGTCTTCCGACAGATTGGCTGTGACTGACAATCAAATAAAAAAATATTAAATTAATGTTAAAATTATTTTGTATATAATTTTGCAAATAAAAWATAATTACCCAAACATATGAATARACTTAATACAAGAATTTGAATCATTTTYAGTAAAATATTGTTTTTATAAACAGTTTTATTTGTTTTAAACAATATATTAAACTAAATTATTGTATTCTATCTGAAAAAATATTCAGTATTTATATAAAAAAATAATTTTATTATTGAGCATATTTATTACAAAATTTGTTATTAAAAACACATTTTCTTGGTTTATTATTTTTACTTTTAATATAAATTGAGTAATATTTAGATATACTTACTATAGTAAACTTCACAGTATTTATTTATAATTAATAATAATAAATGTTGTATTATTATACTACCTGTATTTAGACAATTAATTGTTTTGACCAAATAAATCAATGAAAATATTATTTACCGGTAATTAATTAAATATTAAACATATTTATACAATTAATTTATCATTTCTTTAATCATTTTGAACAGTGTTTGAGTGCAAATGTGTTATTCATTTCTATTTTTATTCTATGCATTAGTTTTGTATATTATTTAATCCCTATATTATTATTTTGACTTAATTTTAAAAATACTAATAATCTAAAAAAATATCTTAATGTCAAAGAAATTTTAAAATTGATAATTAAATTTGTAACAGAATTGTTATATGTAACCCATCGGGGGTTTAATAGTTTAAAGCATTATTAAAACAATACATTTAATTAAAAAAAATTTTTTACAATAATACTAATATTATTTTAATTCACACCATCCCAACCCCAACTCCATACCACTTTTTGCTATCACACACCCACTCACCCATTAAAGACCTGTCAAAGTCTTTACGTGCAATTTTATTTCACGTGCAAATACAGTAGTTTACATTTAATACAGTGTTGTAATGCACGCGCAAGCAATAAAAAAAACGAAACCCTCTCTAAGGTAAGCGTTGCCACTATTTGTTGTGATTTTGTTGAACTGTATAACAATGAGTGAACCGGAAAAAACAGCTTTTATAATATTCGGTGTTTTTGCAGTCATTGCTATACTTATGATTGTCATTAGTAAATGTATTTGTTTTGTAATCATATGGTATGCAATGAGTGGCGGACTCTTACCGATAACCGGTCCCAATCACTATCCACACGCTGGAAGAGTACCGGGAGATCCGTATTATTCAAGAGGCGTTTATCCCATACAACCGGCAAAGTATGGACAACAGCCGTCTTCTCTTAAGTCAAATCAAGTTTTAGTTTAATACAAAAATTAGTAAATAAAATGTTATTCAAATTTAATTATAGTGACAGTTGTTATTAGCTAAACAATGTATTGTAAATTTAAATTGTTTTCTATATTAAACTTTACGATTCATTGTAACTGAAAATTAAAGTCAATTATAAATAAATATGAATTAAACTTATTATGATTTTAAAGTTTTTTATTTTTATTAATTTGATTTCATTGGTTTACTTGATATTTGTCGATTGGGATCCCAATAATGGTGTCAGTGATCGTAATTGTGGATTAAGATATGTTCCGACAATTGTAACTCTAAACTATCCAAACAAATGTTTTAAGAGTAAAATACTGAAACAATTGAATATTGATGACATATTTGGCAACTTTCATGTGTCTAACCATCAAAATTATACGGATAACAGGGTATACCGGGGACATGATGTTCAATATGGTGAAACACCCTGGACTGTCTATATAAAAAGTTATTCATTTTGGAGTTTCCAATATAATTATTGTACCGGMGTTTTGCTAAATAARCGCTGGATATTGACAGCAGGCCATTGTAACTATAAGTAAAATAATTTTCAAACATTATATTTTATAAATTTATTTATAATAAAATTTATTATTTGTGTTTTTTTCAATTCAAAGTAATGAAACCAAACAAATTAGACACAAATGGAGTCGTATAATGGGTGGAAACAATCGTAATATACAGGAAATGGTTTATTGGAAAGACATATATTTGCACCCAAACTTCACATTAGATTACTATAAATCATGGGAAGCAGACATTGCATTATATAAATTACAAAACGATTTAAATATAAATGATTATATCAATGGTATTCACTATGAGATAAACAGTGTATGTTTACCAACAGGTAATCGACAGTTCAATAAATTTGGTGAAGACGTCACAATTTTCGGTTGGGGTAAGACATCAAATACTAATACAATTCCTATATTACAAAAGGGACAATTAATATTAGCACCAAAAAAATGGTGCTCTGATAGTCAAATGCTATGCTCTAGTAATAGGTTTGTTCCCTTAGATACGCGATTATGTGATGTAAGTTTATTTAGTTTTCAACAAAAAAAATATTTTTATTATTTTAATAGATTTACATAACTTTTTTAGGGTGACTCAGGTGCTGGTATTGTGCAATATGTGGACGATTTACGGACGCGAGCTATAGTCGCTGGTATACTATCCTCTACTAACAGTTTATATTGTGATAATACCGTTAAKAGTATGACTTTTGTGTCGATTCCCAAACATATCAATTGGATTTTACAGACTATTCAAAATAATACTAAATAATCTATTTTAAATAAATATATATATTTACAACATTTTCTAATAACTTTACTGTAAATTAATTAAAAATATTTTTTTAAATGAGTTTACTATWTGTATAACAACTAACTATCAATAAATAAATAAAATTCAAAKCATAATCTATTTTCACTGATTTTTACTGATWATTACGAAAATTGTTGTTTTAAAGTTTGTATACCAAATGGTATATTTCATATATGAGACAAAAGTATAACAGTATTCAATATATTTTACAACAATCATTAATTTTTTTTGAAAATCTATTTAAACTAAAATTTTAATGTTAAACACTCGGAACCAATTAAACAAMATAAATGGCATGGGGAGGTCAATTACCAAACATGGGGGACACAGGAGCTCAAAGATCAGGTTCAAGAACTGTAGAAGTTAAAGATGAAGAAAACRARACATTACCAACATTGAGATTAAGAGGTAGACCACAACAACGGACTTATGCACAAGTAGTTGCCGGTGTACCAGCTTATGGTAATATCAGTAGMGGTTACGGTAGTCAACAAAGTGTAAAACAAAGTGGGAGCACTGTGCGACCTAAAAGACGGGCCCCACCACCTCCATCACAGCCACCTTCATTTTCATACAGTCAAAATAGAGAGCCYGGAGTKCAAGCTTATGGCACAATTGGTGGCGGTCCCAGTAATCAACAAAGTTCTCCCACAATGCGACCTAAAAGACGGGCCCCACCACCTCCACCACAGTCTCCTTCATTTTCTGACACTCAAAATATAGAGCCTGGAGTGCAAAGACCTGCTCCAAGTCCAACACTACCGCCTCCACGAAGACGTCCACCGCTTTCCAGAAATGTTGGCATTGATTCTCAAGAAATACAGAATTTAATTCGAAATCAATGGCGAAATGTTGAACGACCGAAAAATATGTGGGAATACCGACCGCGAACCCGATCTGAAGACTCGGAAGACATTGAAGTACCATTGGTTGAGTTGAGGTATAGATTAAAGAAGCAATTAGATGATGAACAAAATCGCGGCGGCGGAAGTCTTATCAAAAAAAGTAACCGAAATGTTCTGGAAATCGGTAGGACTTTCTCTAGACAGGCGCCGTCAGATAGTATTCGAGATAAAGGTTTTCTAGAACATCAGCGCCGGTGGTATCCAACAAGACATCCAACTCCCGGATCCGATGCCACAAAAATGTCTAAAAATAAGTTTGGTCCGCAGGGAAACTTGCAATTTATACCGCRACCACCCGATCGTAACATACAAAGAACACGTAGTGAATCTATGGATCGAGAGAAGTCCTGGAGAGAACTGTTACCCAATCGAAGTGATCGACAAACTCGACAAAYACACCAAAAATCTTTGTATATGTCTCGGGAACAGCAGACAAGTCGGACAAATGAATTACTGCAAAGAAGAAGACAAAACATTGTGACCGGTTTGCCTCGAAATCGCGATATGTATATGACTAACACACAAATGCCACCCATACGGGGTATGTTTCCTCAGGACATTAATACAATAGACGAAATGCCCGGCTATGAGCCCACTGGTGTTGGTCCATATCAGCCGATCAACATTCCTGGCTATGATATATCACGAACTGATATTCAGCCACAAACACAGTCTTCTGCTTTTCAACRACAACAGAGCGCTGACAGCGGACAGTCTGATCTGGAAAATTGGAATCAAGAGATGATCAGGAAATGGAAAGAACAACAAAAGAAACCCAAATCGGATAGAGAGAGATGGGAGGAATGGGAGGGATAATAATGTATAAAAATGACTGAAATGGTGGACCATTAGCTTATAAGGAGTTACATAGTGGCAGCACAAAAGGGTTAGTTATTTATGTCACTAAAGTAAATGTATTAAAGTAATGACAGTATAGTTCACTTTTTTAATCAATACAACTAATGAAAGTTTATTTGTGWTAATTTAATTACATTACATTATAATCATAGGTCCAAAAATTAGCAAAATTATTGACTCAGATCAGTATAAAAAAAGTGTGGATTTAATGTGTGAAATGTTTTTTTTKAAAAATAAATATCATTTATTTTATGATCGTATAATATATCGTAAATTATAAGATAACTAATATATACTATTTATTGGTGTTTAAAATTTTTATTTATAGCCCCGTAAGGTTGATGTGTGTATATTAGCTTTTAATAAAATGTACAAAAAAATGCTATAATAATTATATATTTTTTGTTATTTTTCCAATTGTTGTACGTTATAATTTTTATTAAAAATTAATTATTGTTTTTTACAAAAATAATTTTAGACTAAAAAAAGGAGTCGAGAGTTATAGAAAAGTTTGACAAGAAATGGCATCTGGACGTCATCCATACAGAGGTAGATCTACAACTGTGGTAACTGRTGATAATAGACACCCAACTTTGAGAATAAGTAGCTCAACGCAGAGAGCAACAGGTGGTTCAGCAAGTGGACCAACAGGTGGTCCAAGTGGCGGCCATCAGGTTATCCACGGACTCAGTCCACTAGTAGACGTCTTACATATCCACCACAACTTCCACGTAGAGGTGTTGGCATTGATTCACCAGAAGTTAGAAATTATGTGAACTATCAGTGGAGAAGCGGTTATCCAGAAACAGGCAATTTATGGCAATTCCGACCGCGTACTCGATCTGAGGATTCGGAAGACATTGAGATGCCGTTGGCTGAGCTYAGACTGCGATTGATGGTACAGAAGGCAGAGGAACAACAACGTGGTAATCGAACTCTTCGGCAACAAAGCGATTATAATGTACGGGAAATTCATCGAGAAATGGCACCGAAATCCCGGCGACAATTTGTTAGGGAAATTGGTTTAGAGGAAAGAGACGGAAGATGGCATACACCACCAGAACTACGTCCGGTACCATTTTCTGGTGCCCAGGGATCGCGTGACTATCTATTCACACCGCAAGTAGGCTTTCAACCGCCCGAACCGAATCCTCCCGATGCTAACACTCAAAGAATACGAAACGAATCTGATATTCGAGACGAGGCCTGGAGTGAACTGTTCCCCAATTCGTCTGATCTGCGAAACCGACGGACGCATCAAAGTTCGACTTATATGTCGAGAGAACAACTACTGAGTCGAGTAAGAGATTCGATGAGAAGAAGGAGGCAAAGTATCGGAACAGGTGAACCACTAACACGTGATACATATATGACTAACCCTCAGATGCCAACTGCAGTAGGTATGCAACAGCCGTTTCTTCCGCCTATTGTTGAGATGCCAGCCTATGAACCGCAATCCAATGCTCCGCATCGACCAATCGATATTCCCGGCTTTGATATATCAAGAACACCATCGGCAGCAACTGTACGTCAACAACAACAACGAGGACAGTCTGATTTGGATCAATGGAAGGCCGATATGGAAAGGAATTGGAGTCAATACAGGAAATAGAAACAACAATCCGGAGGACAACAACACAACAAAAGGGTGAATCAATTATTGTAAAGATAACAGTATTTAATATTTTTTAGTAGTTTTATTTGTAAAAATAATATCAAAAAAGTAAATTTCCTTTAATTCAATATTAGTCATTAATTTTTATTTATTTATTAGATGTTAGAAAAATTATTATTTTATTTGAATTTTATATAAATTAATTTAAATCATAATTTTTTTGCTAAGTTTTAAATTTTTCAACAAATTTAACAATACTCTAAACAATGCTTTATTTTTCACAATTTTAAATTATTTGATTTTCCAAATTGTGTGAAGTGTTTACATCAATGGCAACTGGAGGTCACTCTGGCAGAGGAGGTAGTGGTGGATATGGTAGGACTTCAACAGAAGACGAAAAATCTAAGAAAACATTTGCAGAAAAACTTAGATTATTTGGTGGAGTGAGACAACAAACTGATGACACAACCGGATCATCAACTGGTGAAACTAGTGGTGCTGACAGTGGTTTCGGTAATCAGAATACTGAACAAGAGTCCAGCGTAAGACCAAAACCACGACATAACAAAAGACCTGCACCTCCGCCGCCACGGCGTACAACACTTCCATCCGGTGTAACCATTAACTCGCCAGAAGTGGTAGACCTAATTCGTGATCGATGGAAAGGTGTGGATCAACCAAAAAATTTGTGGCAATTCCGTCCGCGAACCAAATCGAATGACTCGGAGGACATCGAGACACCGTTGGCTGAGCTTAGGTATAGACTAAAGAAGGAGATCGACAATGAAAGACAACAACACAGTCGCCAAAGTTTAAGTAACAGAAGTAATCGAAACTTTTTATCAATTCAACAGACATTTATGAATCAATCGCCTAACGATGTACTCAGTGATAGACATTATTCAAGTCAGGGCCGTTGGTTTCCAAGACGTCGACCAGTTCCAGGTTCTGGTGTGACCGATACTCCTCAGCATATATTTGGTTCGCAGAAGAGACAACCAATTTATACCAAACCCTCCCGATCCTTATTGGCGAAAAGTGAGACAAAGATCGGGAAWAAGAGATCAACAGTGGAGAGAGCTATTCCCAAACCGAGAACATCGCAGAGCTCGGCGCACATACCAGACATCACAGTATGAGGTAAGAGATCAACAATTAAGTCGAATCAAACATTTGATGAGTAAAAGGAGAGATAGTATCCGAAGAGGTTTACCCCGGACTAAGGATATGTATATGACTAATCCTCAGTTACCTCCATCTGGATATAGTCTTCCACCAAGACTTCCCATAATTCCCGAATCATCATCAGAGAGTCAGTATATGCCCTATAGTAGCCAAACTAATTATCCAATTAGTTATCCTTCCCGGTAGAGATAGTAACACCGTTTATGGTAATACCAGTGCTAATATAAACATTTCAGATATGGAAAAATATTGGAATCAGAATCAGGAAATGGATCCAGACTCSGAATGGGAAGATGACTAACAATTAGGAGTTAAGTTTTTAGATAAGATATCTATTARTTAAAATTTAAAWGTTAAAAAATTCATTATATATATATATATGGTTTAATGATATAACAAATTACTAAATGCTTTACATTTTGACTAAACTTAGTTTCACAAACGTTTTAATGTATTTTACATATATTAAAAATGGACGAGACATAGAATTTTTGTTATTAAAACCAATAGTTTATATCTATTGTATGYTTTTAGGTTAGGTTGGGTGAGTTAGGAAGGAGTATGTGGAAGGGGAAAGGGAGGGGAGGGTAGTAATATAGCTTTTAATTAACTGCATACTATTTTAATAGCTATTAAAACCATGAATAAACTGATGCGATACAGATACTATTTTRTTCATAAAATTTATTTTAAAATTTAAATATAATTTCAAGTTATAAAATAGTATGAAAAAACAATTGATAATTTATTGTAGTATTAATCCACAAAAAAAGWTAAAACATTATTTCAAARAKTACAACAAGTTTTTAGATAAAGTCAAACATCGATCGGCTAAATATATCAAACAAATCGATTCGTTTTATATATTTTTTTATTATTGTTGTTTTCAATGAAAATATAAAAAAATATATAAATAAATTTCATAAGAGTTTAAGTATTACAATACAATATCAGGARAACTCAAAGGAAAATTATGGGTAAAAAAAGCAGATCCGGCCGATCCCGTGGATCACAATACTCRCAAAGAAGTTCATTGCAGGTTAGRGGACAACAAAGGACTGGTAGGGCAACCCCGCCATCCGGTACCAGACCACTGGRCTCACGCACTGCTTCTATTGGAAGTGAAGCCGGGGCTGGTTTGCCAGTCTCTTCGGAAACTTCGCTGAGAAGACAACAACTACAGCAACAGATTATGGAATCACAAAACTTGTCCAAAAGAATATCGACGTCATCTTCGGTCAGAACAATGAAGACAATGTCTGGATCAGGTYACTCATCCTCTAGTGACCAACCGTCGCAAAATGTCATCGAAGATCTTGACAAACTGCGAGATATTGGCTTCAATATAGACTATCCAAACGGATTATTAGGAGAAGGATATTATGGACAAGTCTATAGAGGAACGTACGGTCCACAGGCCGAAGGTATACAAGGATTGCCAGCCAATCGAAGATTTGCTGTTAAAATCATTGATTTTGGCGACAAATCAGACGACGACACACTYATGGCCAGAGAGACGTTTGAAACGGAAAARTATATCCTCACAGAAGTGAATCATCCGAATGTAGTTGTCGTCCGTATGGCCATCAATATGGGTACAGTCAGACCATTCCCTTTTAGAACCAACAAAAATGCCGAGTATTTATCACCCGAACGGGTCTATCTGTTCATGGATTTTGCTGATAGGGGTGATCTGCAAACATTCATTGACAATCACTGGCAAACTATGACATCTCATTTGAGAATGAATTGGATTATTGAGCTATTTTCAGGTATGCTATATTTGCACAACAATAACATCATTCATGGAGATATACATTGTGGTAATGTATTATTGTATACCTCTGGTAGCACTATAGTCGCCAAATGGACTGACTTCGGACTGGGATATGTGGCACCCAATCGTCAGTATCGTTTTCGGGCTGATGTGACCCAAGATATTAATCGTTTGATTAAAAAAGATGTCGAGAGTATGGGACGGGTGTTTGGTGTCATACTGGATGGCCGATGGAATACTCAAGAGTCACCACAAGAAAAACAAATACTCGACACAATGAAACAGATGAGGTATGATATGAGTACAGCACCGGATATTACCAGTCTTTATAAAAAATACAAACATGTATTGGCAGAGGAATTGACTTTCCAAGAGGACTACTTCGCATAAATAAGTATATAATTTAAGTAGTATTAAAAAATAAAGATATTGTATTAATAGTAAATATTAGTTGATTTTATTATTTATTACAAAGACTTTATTATACTTTTTTAAAACACTTGTTTATTAGACTTAATTTTACAGTTAATACTATTATMTATTATTTTTAAACAAACAAAATACTKAATATACATTTTAGATCAATACAGGTATTAGTATTGTTGTGTTTTTTATTTTAAAAATAAAATTTAAGTGAATATTTTTATTTAAAAAAGAGTAATTGAGAACTAAAATCCTTCTAACATCAGAGCATCAGARATGGGAAGAAAAAGAAGATCCGGTCGATCCCGTGGATCACAATACTCGCAAAGAGGTAGTAACTCATATGGATATACTGGYCAACAATCATCTACTAGTAGACAATACCCTCTATCAGGTCAGCGACAACGGGGAGCTTCTGTTAGAAGCGAAGCCGGAGCTGGTTTACCCGTTTCGGATATCACTTCAGAGAGAAGACAACGCCTTCAACAGCAGATACAAGAAGTGCCACATATTACTAAAGGAATAACACAATTACCGAAGTACCGCACATTATCGACAGCTTCGTCTGCTTCTGCAGGTTCAGCCAAGACATGGTATAACATATCCAGCGGATCGTCCGGTACTGACCAGCCGTCGCAAAATATCATCGAAGATCTTGATAAACTGCGAGACATTGGCTTCAATATAGATTATCCAAACGGATTATTGGGTGAAGGATACTTTGGACAAGTCTATAGAGGAACGTACGGTCCACAGGCCGAAGGAATACAAGGATTGCCAGCCGATCGAAGATTCGCCGTTAAGATCATTGATTTCGGCGATAAATCAGACGACGACACACTCAAAGCCAGAGAAACGTTTGAAACGGAAAAGTATATCCTCACAGAAGTGAATCATCCGAATGTAGTTGTCGTCCGTATGGCCATCAATATGGGTACAGTCAGATCATTCCCTTTTAGAGCCAATAAAGGAGCCGAGTATTTATCACCCGAACGGGTCTATCTGTTCATGGATTTTGCTGATAAGGGTGATCTTCAAACATTCGTTGACAATCACTGGCAAACTATGACACCTAATCTGAGAATCAATTGGATTATTGAACTATTTTCAGGTATGTTATATTTGCACAGTAATGACATCATCCATGGTGACATACATTGTGGTAATGTATTATTGTATAGCTCAGGTGGTACTATAGCAACCAAATGGACTGACTTCGGACTGGGATATGTRGCTCGTAATCGACAGTATCGGTTCCGGGCAGATATAACCCAAGATATTAGACAATTGATGAAAAACGATGTCGAAAACATGGGACGGGTGATTGGTATCATACTGGATGGCCGTTGGAATAGTCGAGAGTCACCACAAGAAACACAAATACTGGACACTATGAAGCAGATGAGGCACGACATGAACTATGAACCGGATCTCAGAAATCTTTTTGAAAAATACAAACATGTGTTGGCAGAAGAGCTAACTTTCCAAGAGGACTACTATTGAGAAATGTGGTCAACATTGCTAACTAAATAAAGATCAGATATTTTATATAAATTGTATTAATTATTTATTTCTTGTTTCAAAGTCATTCTAATAGAGAAAACAATTTTTTTATCGATATAATAATTTTGTGAATTATTATACGTTTCATAACTTATTCAATATAAGATATATACTAATTAATTAAAATTATTCAATAATTTAAATACATTTTTAAATATAATTTTAAAACTAATAAATGTGTTCATTAAAAAAATAGTTTGTTATTCATACAGTAAAGTTAATCATTGATTGTCACTTATTTTTACATACATTTTAACATAATAAAAAAATCAAGTAATTATTGTTTGTAATAAATCATGGACTTAAATTTATATTATAGACAGCMAGTAAAAAGTATTGTCTTTTATACAATAAAATGTTAATTTTATTATTTAAATATTAATCATGAATAATGAGTATAATTTTACCATAAATATAATTTAAATAGAAAGGTATATTTTTTAAAAAAGACACTTTATTACCAATTAAATCAATAAAATTAATCAATTACATATGTGATTATATAAAAATATAATAAATTTTATAAAAATTCATATATATAAAAATATACTTTATAAAAAATAGTATAAATCTTATAAAGAAATGCCATATTATCAATATATTTAATTTTATATATAAAAAATTTGCTATCAAATTAATTTACGCGTACAAACGCGTCAACACACACGTGCACAAGATAACAGATCTGATGCACACTTAAATTTGATGCCTATATATATATATATACAATATAAATGTGTATAACTGTCCTTAAATTACTAATTATTTTTTAGAAAGATATTGATTGATAGCAYCCGACAACCTCTCGACGGCATTCAACGAATGGATGTCTTCACCCGTGCCCTCAACGGTCTCAAAGTTAAGTTTTCCTTCCAATCCCTGAATTAAAAATATATTTTAAAATTGAAAACAGATCTTAATATTTATACAAATATTATGATAAATATTTTAGTCAATTACATACCGAATCGGGCAGAAAATAAGCGTTTCTTATCTTATCGCTGACCACTTCGTCAGCATTTTCTTCAGTAAAATCAAATGGTTTTAATATCAACAGCTTTCCAGTCATTTTCAAGAACTTGGATCCGATGTTATATTTAAGTTTCTTTTGTTTATTCTTCATATTAACCCGATATGTTGTGAACAGTTTTGCGCGTTTGAATGAATTCATCAAAATCTCATCCAAGTCTCGACTCACAAGACTTTTACCRCAAAACTCTTTTAATTCGGACGCCATTTTGTCCAACTTAGAGGGTATGTCTGGTTTAGTGTCAACATCACGCTTGAACTTAGCCTTAATAACGACAGGCATGTCTTTTGTGATAAACTTCAACATCAATTCAATTAAATAATCATTTGTTATCTCTTCATCCAATTTGATTTCCGAAAGCATATCAATGATAACACATTTACCTATCGGTGCTTTCTTTAACATTTTCATAGCAATGAGTGCACCATAAAAGTGGCCCAAAATATCATAATCTCCTTTAGGCTCCAAAACCTTCATCAAATTAGTATAGTATCTACTGATCTCTTTAAGTGAACCCATTTTCTCCATCTCTTTAACCCAATTGAGACCAATGACTGGTCTGTCAATCTTTTCTGCCAAACCTTCGAGCGATGCAAATATGCCCTCCAGTGGTGGCAAAAAGTAAATGGGTTTACCAGTGGTTACACTGTTTAACTTGACGTAAGCGTCGGCGGGGATCACAAACTTAACTTTGCATAGTTTTGTTCGACAATTCTTGATCTCTTCAGCAAAAGTCTTCATTTCATCTACCTTTCCCTTTTCAAACTCCTTCATCATTCCTATTGTAATATTCTTGATATCACTTAATGATACTTTAATGTCGTAATCTCTTTCTAATCCCTGTTGTAGTTCCACTGCAAACATAGACTCCATACCGATCTCACCCAATGTCAAGTGATCGGGTGTAGTCTTAGGGTCGATACCCAGCGCCTGCCAGATCTGGTGCACAATTTTGGCCTCTTTGGTTCCGGCCATTGTTGAACGTTCGGCTCTAACCTAAAATTATAGATAATTAACTCAGAGATGAGTATTAACTATAAAATGAAATTTTAATTCATAATCACTTACAACACACGAAACAACTGCATGTGACGTCTGAAGGAATTTATCCAAAATTTCCAGACAAGAGTTGATTCTCTGTTTGACGATTCCCGACAACGAACTATTTATTTGAGTGTCTGTCATAACTCCTACATCACCAATAGGTCCCCATTGTATAGCCAGACCGTGAAGACCATCGCGACGTCTTTGTTCGCAAATGCGTTCGCATATAGAATTGGCGTAACCATAGTTGGCCTGACCGGCGTTACCTTTACCACAACTGACAGATGAGAAGACCACAAAATAGTCTAAATTGAGTTTCATATCTCTCGACATGCGATCAAAGTTGACAAAACTGGTACTCTTCGAGTCGATTGTTTCCTGGAATTTGTCGAATGTATGGTTTTCGACGAGACAATCGTTAAGAAGAACAGACAAATGGAAAATACCGCCAATTGGTCCCAATTGCTCGGCTTCGGTGAATAGAGCTCGGGTACCATTCATGGTGTTAGTATCGTGAGTGGAGACAACGATTCGTGGCTTAAACATTGCAAACTTGATGCCCAATGACTCCAAGCGATCCAAAATAAACTTTTGGTATTTATTACGGACACCAAATCGTGAGGTGAGCACAAAATTACGAGCGCCGAGGAATATCATCCAATGAAGCATTTCCAGACCGAAACCGCCTAAACCACCGGTTATTATATAAACTTTGTGGCCGTCAAAGTAAGTCTTCGATGTGGCCATCAGTGTCAGAGTTGGATTAAATTCCATGTGTTTGCCCTTAACTTCTTCCTCTTCTCTAACTTTGATGATAATCTTTCCCATGTGTTTACCGGTTGTCATATATCGGAAAGCTTTCTCCGCTTCTTCGGCTTTGAAAACAGTTCTATTGATTGGTTTAATCATACCATTGGTTGAGTTTGCGTGCATCCAATCGAAGAACTGTTGGGCAAAGCCGGGCACCAAAAACAGTCGTCTGTCGACTGACACACCAATGAACGAGATGTCCCTCAAGAATGAAAACATTCCCAACTGTTTGTTCATTTGGAGATCATATTTGCCGATCTCAACAAAACGACCGCAATCGGCAATACACTCGTAACTGGCGTCCAGTTTATCGCCGGCCAGTGAATTAAGTACCAAATCTACACCTTTTCCTTTAGTCAGAGACTTAATTTTGAACTTAAATTGAGTGTCTCGGGAGCTAAATATGCGTTCCTCTGGAATACCATATTCAGACATTAAAAACTTTTTCTTATCTTCGGTACCGACTGTCACATAGATATCTGCTTTATAGTACTGGCAGACAATGATAGCTGCCTGACCCACACCACCAGCAGCTGAATGAATAAGTATACTCTCATCTAATAAAAACAAATTATAAATAATTAATATAACAATTTGAGAAACAGTTATAAAATTAATACATTTCTTCAATTGGGCCCTTTCGATGAGTCCATACCATACGGTACTATATGTACTCAATATAGTAATCGCGTCATCCATTGACCAGTGATCAGGTATGGGCGATATGAAGTCCTCAATAGCGTCCACATATGTGGCAAAACATCGGCTTAAATCAAAGCCGCAAACACGGGTGCCGTCATCAGTGCGACGACCGGCAAACTCAAAGCCCAACAAACAGTCTGTAAAAAGACTTTGAGGACCCGAAACAATACGACCTATTAATAAGTTAATACAAAAATTAATTAATAGTTTTCAGATCCCTATTGTCATTTGAATCATACCTGTAGCCAACATAACGTCCCTAAAGTTGAGACCTGAGCTATAAATATTACATCTGATTTGTTGACACTTTCGGTTATTGATGTCATAATAGGTCTCTTTGGGGACCAAATTCTTAGAGTCGAACCATTGAAGACTTCCGAGATCCCTGTTTTGTCCGATATTCAAGAAATAGTCGTTAGTCTCCACCTTATCATAGTCGCGGGCGAGTGTCAAGTGTCTAAATGTACCCAATTGGCCGTCTTTGAGCACATTTACCACAACATCGTTGGTAAGTATCTCATGGAAAGGCGAGGCCTTGAAATCAATCGGTAACTTCAACTGATTGTCAAAGTCGTAAATAAGTCGAATACTGTCACCACCCGGTTCCAGACGCAGACAATTGACGAGACCAACGATACCATTGTATGCGGTATTACTGGCGATAAGCCATAGATGCTGGTCATCCTTCTCATCGTCGCGTTTGAGCAGAAGTCTCTGTTTGACACTTTCAAACCAATCACTGTGTTTATCGTTAATCTCAAAAACGTTTCTATTTTCGGGAATTGTCGTCAGTTTGGTCACAATACGGCGGAATAGTACGGCCATCGAACCAATATCGTCGGTTTTGCGACCGATGACTACAAAACCGATTTTTTCTGCGGCGGCCATAAAGTTGGCGATGCGCTGTTCCAGTTGTGCATTTGTGAGGCCACCCGTATTGGTCAGACTGTTAAGCGCCAGTTCGGGTTCCGTATACTTGTAACGGAAAACCGATAGCAAGAATCCTTTGCATACGACTGCATCATAGATGTCTTGAACAAAACCTTCAAGATTTAGATCCCATAGATCTGAAGAGTCGTAATGTACGACCAGATTAGGTAGTGTCACATCTGATGGGAAACTTGTCTTCTTGTAATCCCATTCATTGATTTTGAATGCCTTTTGGCTGTATGTGTCGGGTAATGTGGCCGTCGACTTGACCGCAACATTATAGCTGACATCAATTGGGTAGATATGACACGAAGCCAAGTGATTGTCCACTTCTTCGGCTAACAAGCCGTTCGTTAAATTGATTTCCAATACTTTAATCTCTTTTTTGGGAACATTACACTCACTAACAATGTCTAAAAGAGATCGTATTAAATGTTCATTTCGTGAGACTTGATTTATGACATCGAGTGACAGGTCGTACTCCGGTTTATTCTTGAGTTCCGACAAATACTTGCGAACGGAATCCATCTGAAAATCATTTTTTGGATTTTGATTCTCATCGCTTGTGTGTTTCACCAAATCACTGATAGTCTTAAGCAATACGTAGTTGTCTTTCATATCTTTAAGATAGTTGGTAATCAAATCCTCATCTTTCTGGTTCTGTACGTACGGACTGTCCGTTTTGAACAAGTGTTGAGCTTTTGCAGTCATTGTTGAACATACCTATTGATTATTTAAAAAAAATGGTTATATTGTCAATAAAATTATACAATAAGTCATTAAAACCATACCTTCAGATATTCATTAATAAGTGTTTTGTCGCATTCCTCGATGGCATCGCTTTGATTATTAGGAATGAATTGATACGACTCGAGCTTCAAGTCGGCTACATTGGTCTTCCTCGGTATAGGCAATGCCATTAAGTCTTCCACTTCAATACCGGGCGCAACAATCATACGAGAATTCATGTCCACGTGAAACGGCAGAAGAGACTTATATATATAGAAGTCTTGTCCGATAAGTTCTTCAATGTTGTCGATATTGTTGGCGTCAAGAATTTCTTCGACGTCTTCATTTTGTTTTTGCAAAACATCGTCAAACGCTTTTTCTTCGTCCAACTCAAGTCTTTCATCAGACATCTTATAATTGGCTACCGCTTCGTACAGCACTTTGGGATCGCAGCGCAACTGTTTGATCATCACCGGTACCATCATCTTACGGAAAGGCATGGCGGCTGCCATTGTCTGGAGCAGTGAATCCATGAGTGTTACCCAATTGCCCTCCCAGAGTACCTGTCCGTGTAATATCTCAAAGTTATTAGTCTTAATAGACTTCAAGCCTTGGAATTTAGGTCCGTAATCATAGCCGAGAATATGCAGGTCTTTGTAGATGTCTTTGCCCTCTAAGACCACTTCATAGTCGCCTTTGACGTCCTGTTCGAGCAAAACGTTTTGTACGCTTAGTGTGTAGTCGTCGGGCGTACGGATTCGGCCCAAACACGTGACGTTACCGTTCTCTAAGATCACGAATTCGCCTAAAAAACATCAAAACCACAAATATTATCATCTCTTCTTCATTCTCATTGTTATCTAAAAGTTTATATAATAGTTACCCGAATTTTGAAAGTACCGAACTTTCATTCGTGTGACGTCCGTCTCCGACAAGAACACTGGACGCCTGAACTGGACGTCCTCGAAGACTACGGGTATTTGATTCCAGATCTTGCCATGAAAGGCGGCCATTTGGCGCCAGGCCAACATCATGTAACCGGTGGCCGGGAATATCATATTTCCGTCAATACTATGGTCCGGATAAAATGATTTGATAGAGCGCTGCAAATCGATCACTTCATTCATGTCCGAAGCCGTGGCCCGAAAGTGATAGTCGGGAAACTTGCGTACAAAGTATGTTTGTTTGTGATCCCATTGTAGGAGCGAACTAACAGATTGAGTTCCTCTGGCCACTGGCCACTCAACTTTCGGGTAAAGATTTTCGATACTCGGATTGAGGCCGAGTTCATATAGTTTGGCCAATGAAGTCAAATACATTTCCAAATTGGTTTCATTCGCGTCTTTCTTGATGAGCGCCAAACAGGTCGCGCCCTCAAGAGTTTGTGTAATTATCTTCGAGAACAGTGCGTGCGGTCCGATCTCAATCACTATGGCGTCTGTTTGTAAATTCTTTAGCTTATTGTAGAAATATACGGGACTAATGAGGTTATGGACAAAATACTCGGCTGATGCGTAACGCAATGCATCCTCGCATTCAGTGTCCAACAGTGCCGTCGAAATCCATTTTCTCGATCTAAGTCGCGGTTCCGGCAAATATTTCTTGATTTCATCGGTCATTCTCTTAGCCGATGTTATCAGATATTCGCTGTGATAGGGAATGTCGTGACTCTGCAGTTCCCTAACAAATACACCCTTTTTGTTGAGCCCTTCAATCAGTTTTTTCATTTCGTCGTACAAACCTTTTAACAACAAAAAAACAGATGTAAAACAACATTAAATTTAATTATCTGAACTAAAATAGCTATAAAATAGACTATAATTACCAGACATGACAACAGTGTCTTTTGCATTATTGCAGACAACACTAACACCATTTGGACATATCTTTTTCGCTTCATTCCAAGACATACCGACCACAGCCATCAAACCTTTCGGTATCTTTTTGTCGCTTTCAGTGACCACACCTCTAATATATGTGACCATAAGTGCCTCGCTTGCAGTCAAACAGCCGTCCGCATAAGCGCAGGCAATCTCGCCAAACGAGTGGCCAATAATACCGTCGGGCACAACGCCCAGTGAGGTCATCAGATCAAACAGTGCTAACTCGATGGCAGTTGTGGCGCAAAACTTGTTAGTCATTGTTAGCATCGATGACGAGTCGTCAGACAGAAGCAAATATTTGAGGTCAATATCAAAGGGTTTGAGTATTTCGTGGAACTCATCGATTCGTTCGGCAAACAGTTTGATGGGCATCAATGCCCGCGCCATTCCCGCCCATTGGCCGCCGAGACCGGGGAACAGAAACCAAACGGGTCGTTGGGTTTTCAACGCCAACAGTGATGACTGCTTTTTGTACTCATAATGTTTCTCATTGTTATCGCCCTTCACTTCCTTTATTATTATTGAACCTATAATTATGATTACAAAATATAAACAAATTTTTAAAAATTTATTTATTTTTTAATTACTTTTTTTAAATAAATAATTTATTTTTTTATTCATATCCAACTGTGCGATCTAAATAATAGGTGAAAACGTATTGCACAGTATGTTTAACTAACTGTCTTTTTTTGTTATTGTAAGTGTCAAGGAAAATATTTGTTGTCATTAATACTTTGATTTATATTTATTTCAAAGTTAATATTTTTTCTTTGTTTTTTTTTTGATTGATTAATGATATGACAAAAATTTATTTTAAAAATGACCATTTAGTTAGTCATTTATATTGTGTTAAATATTATTTTTTAAAATAAATTTAAACATTTTGTTTTATATAATGTCTTAGTTTGTCAATACAAAACAAACAAAATACTTATGTAATAATTATATAAAATATTATTATAAATTATATAACTGTTATCATAAATTATAAATTTGCTTATATTAAAACTGTGTGTCACAAAAAAGTGATATATTATTAACGGTTTAATTAGTTATTTAAACCGCAAACAAAAACTAATAACTAAATATTAAAATTCATTTATTTTGTTATCAATATCATTATTTATATTTAAGTGTCAATTATATGCAAAAAAATAATAAATAAAATCAAAACAGAAGAAAGTTATATTTATTTTTGCCCATTATATTAATTTTTAATATATTTATTCAATTATAATCCCTAAATATTAAAATTTTTGTTCATTTTTAAATTATTTGTTTTCCCATTTAATTTTCAATCAAAATTCAATGACTGTTTTATGTTTAAATTTTTAATTTAACTACAATTAAGTTATTGTTTTGCTTTTTAAAAACACATTATAACTTAATTATGAATTAAATATCAATATAATATAATTTTTATAAAATATATATGTGTTTAAATTAAAAACTAGTTTTTTAATAATTATAATGTAAATGTGTTTTTATTACACAAAAATATCATATTTTTTACTAAATTTCATTACTGTTTTTCCAATTTACTTTAACATAAAAATGTAAATTTAATTTTCATATCTTTCAATTTTTTGACTTAAAGACAAACATTTTAAGTAAATCTTTAGTCGTTTGGGTTTATCAATACATTTCTACTCTCTTTCATTCTCTCTCTCTCTCTCTCTCTCTCTCTCTCTCTCTCACACACACACACACACACACACACACACACACACACACACACACACACACACACACACACACACACACTCACTCACTGTTGATAAGTTTCATCCCTATCCCTCTATTACTCACAAATACTCCACAATATTGCTGTTAGTGTAAAAGATAACCCAATTGTATACATAAATGTCAAATACTATATATTCAWTACTACAAACTGAAAACCACTTTAGAAATTGAATTTCTCTGTATATATATTCATATAATTAACACACTTTTGATATGAGAAAAAACACAAATCTTTGTCATTTTAAGTACTAAATAATAGTGTGAATGAAAATAACACTAAAATATATTAAAATGTTATTTTTGTAGAAAATAATATATTTTTTCAATTAAAAAAAATATATATATTCATAATGCTTATACTTAGTTAATATAATCAGTAACACAATTGCATGCAATTGATAAGTGATGACAAGCAAGTGATAACAGACCTCTATAGGGAAGTCCGGCTGAGTTTAATGACGGCTTAGTTTTCATTGTGTCGGCAATGAGTGCTAAAAAATCGCGGGTTATTTTGTGCGGATTCTTCTCAAAGAAGTCAAACATTTGGTTTAGCGACTCCTGAGTTCGGGCGCAAACATTGACAATACGGGGAATGATATCCGCAATCTTGAGACTGTCCTCATCAAGTAATTTATAGTTGGGTTCAAGCAATGCATGTGCGTTAACACCACCCACACCAAAGTTATTAACACCAGCGATGCCTGGATTAACATAAATTAAATTAAAATATGGACTTATAGTACTTTAATGGGTCACAACTGGCATACCGGGAGTATATTTAAGATTATCTCCATTTACGGGCACCAATGGCGGACAAAAATCTTTAATATTTTGCTTAATATTATTTAGATGAAGACATGAAGGAATACATTCTTTTTCATAGGCGAGCAATAGTTTTACAATAGATGACACACCGGAGGCGCCCTCCGCGTGACCGATGTTACTCTTTAACAGACCAATAGGTAGAGTTCCCTGACGTTTAGGTTTACCACAGTAGGCATTGTAAATGGCTCGGGCTTCTTGTGGATCACCGACCTATAGGACATAAATATTAATTTTAGTAATATTTATTGAATTGGTTTAAGAGTTTATGGTTTTTAATACAAACCTTAGTACCGGTGGCGTGAGCTTCAAAATAATTAATATCCAATGGATCAATGTTTGCCTCTTTGTAGACCTGAATCATGAGCTCCTCCTGACTCTCGGAGGACGGGAAGAACATTCCCATACGTTTGTTGCCATCAATGTTGACACCACTGTTCAAGACAGTGGCGTATATACGTTTTGAATCAGATTTTCGTTGCAGAAAAAGACACGAAACACACTCTCCTCTGGCAAAGCCATCGGCGGTTTCGTCCCATACTTTTGGTATGCCGTCCTTCGAGTTGAGTCGAGTCGACTGAAAAATATGGTTTGTGAAGGGCTGCAGATCTATATTAGTTCCGCCAACTATTGCCTGACGACACTTGCCTTTCAATGATAAGTAACGGGTAATAAATGATTAACTATTTATAAAATACACAATTGCAGGCTACATACCTAATCGCAAGTCATTCATAGCCACATTGAAAGCCACCATTGATGAGGAACAGGCTGTGTCTATGACCAGTGAGGGTCCTTTAAAGTCGAGTACAAATGAGACCCGATTGGCATACAGGCACTTGGAGTTTCCCGGAACCCACAACAATATCTCGGCCATTGAGTTTTGTGAGTCGGGCTGTGTCTCCTCTGGGATACCGTCGGGCATACCAAAAGATGAGTACCCAATATAGACACCGGTGTCGGAGCCCCGAAGTGTCTGAGGATTTATACCTATAGAAATCAGAGCACATATTGAATATAATAAATTGTAATCAATGTCTGACTAAGTTGTTTGTGAGCCATACCTGCGTCAACAATAGCCTCATATGTGGTCTCCAATAGGATCCTTGACTGCGGGTCTATTGTGTCGCCCATTGTGTTCATAATACCGAAGAAAATGCCATCAAATTTGTCAATTTCTTTGAGTTTTCCCATTCGGCCACACATTCCATATAAATCTATGTTTTATGAAATAATAATTAAAATTATGAAAATTAAATCTAAATATATTATTAATTTCAATAAACAGAATAGAAATAAATATTTTTTAAAATTTAATTAATATTAAGATTTAAATTATAGATAATAATAATAATAATAATCAATTGGACAGTCGTTGTTGGCGCCGCCCGACGACTACCGATGACCCCATCGACGGACCGAAATTCCAAGAGATAAGATTTGACAACAAAAATATACATCTTGAAGATTCAGCCCTTCGATGACAAAGGCCTCACGTTTTTACAATATATGGGCGCCAACTCATCCACACCACACACCTCCACCTCCATCACCACAATAACTCTTATTTTAAAAATTAGTTTTTAGTAAAAGTTTGGTTTTTATAAGTTGTATTAGTTTTACTGTTTTTTTCTTAAGAGTTTACAACAATTATTATATTTTCTATCCAATAGCTATGCAGTGAAGTCTAGTTTTCTGATATTTAAAAGTTAAAAAGTTTTAGTATTGTATTAATTATATGAAAATTGTTGAATTAAAATATAATTAAACTTAGTTATTTATTAATTAATTAATTGAATTAATTAGATTATTTGATATTATATAAACTATAATTAATTTAAATTATAAACTATTATATGATAACTGTTATACTGTATAAATAAATATATATTAATAGATATAAGATATTATAAACTGACCTGGATTCCAGCGTCGGTTATCCAGTGTAATCATATCCACTTTGTTATATAGATTTTCGGCAAATTCATCGGTCGAGTCGGACTCAGGGAACCGGCCGGACATACCACTGATCACTATGTCTTCGTCGACACATTTGAAGTGCTGAAGATGTTTGGCCGACATCTTGACTTCACTGTCAGTGTCGGTCACAAACTCAAAAAAAAACTTTTTAATAAATTATTATTATATATCAGAATTAATATAAGTATTAACTTTAAATATTTATTATTATTAAAATTATTAATTAACTCTACTTTTAACGCTTGTTAATAAACAATATTAATTTTTTAAATATAATTACAATTATTAACACAAAATCATATCATTATTATCCATCAATGAGTAATTAATTGATTTTATCATAAATAAATTTTATGATCAACTCATTTGAATAATTTATTTTTTAAAATAAATAAAGAAAAAAGTTTATGGATGTTGGGTCCAAAAACTTTTCTCTTTTATCGGACACTTATATGGCTACTAATCAATAGATATCACTATAAATTAAACTAAAAAAAATAAAATAAATATTATTTTGTTTGCGATGATAAAGTGATAATTTAGTGAAAAAATTTAAAAAGTGAGCCCAAACTCTACATGTTTTCACTATTTATATATAACCTCAAAGTCAAATGAAAAAGGTAATATTTGTGGGGGTCTCACAAAAAAAAAAAATGAAAGTAATATTATATAAAAAGGGGGCACAGGTATAGTATGTTTGGGGACAGGACTTAACGATAGGGACAGTATCAGACACTCAGGGGGAAGGCGTATCACTTTCACTAGTTATTTGTAAAACTATTACATAAAAACCAGAATTTTTTCTATAAAGCAAAGTTACACATATAATGTAACATTTATTGAATTTTAAAGTAAATTGTATTAAGATTTTTATTAATATTGGTAATCCCTCCCATTAGTATTTACGTATAAAAAATGATTGCATATTATAATTAAACTTTTTTTGGGGATTAACATTTTTTTCAAAAGTTATTAATTTTTATAAAAATTATATTTTATTTTTATATATAACATACTGATTTTACGATAATATTAATTAAGATGATTTAAAATTTTAGTTTTATATGATATATTGATTTAAATCTAATTAAATTGTTTATAAAAAAAACTAAATTTATTAGTTTTGCCGGTAATGACATTGTTTTAAAAATAATAATTAGAAATATAACATTAAGTACAAAATTTGTCAATGAAATTTATATTTATAATTATTTTTTGAATTAACACTTTTGTCAATGATCATTAATTAAACTTTTATATATTGTTTGCTAATAAATTAAATTAAATATAATTTATTAGCTAAAATTTACATTTTTTAATTAAAGTAATATATTTATATACTGTATAAAAACTATACAAAACACTGTATATTAAATATACCAAACATACAAAATTATTGCAAAATTATATAATACAATATAAAACAGTAGTTTCGTTATTGGATTGCGTGTCTCTATTAGTCTAAATGTAAACAATTATATAACTTGTGATACATCTTAATAATAATATACTTTAAGATTGATATTATCCTTATAATACTTTAGGACTTATAGATAGATAGAAAGATAGAGATAAAGAAAAACAAATTTGCTATTTGAATGCATTTTTATAATTSTATGTCACATTAGTCTCTCTCTCTCTCTCTCTCTCTCTCTCTCTCACACACACACACACACACACACACACACACAYACTCACTCATTCACTTAGAAATTAAATAATTTAATTTTCAAAATTAATTGCTCTCAAAATTTGCAATTTATTTAAATAATAGTATTCAAAAATTAATTTAAATAATTTCTATGGGAAAATTTATTTTAGCACTACTTTATAATGTACAGTATTTAAAATTTTTAGTAAAAATCTACAATTTCRGTAATTTTTTATATGTTTTGTTTGTTTATTTGTCTCAATAACACTTATGATTATAAAGTGAATTTTTATTTTTATCATTATTTGTTTTATTAATTTTTTTCAGTGCTGTGCAAGTGATAGATGTATTAGATTTTTAAATAATTAAAAACAGAAAATATATTCAATATATTATAAATTAACGAGATTTGGGTTGTTTTAAGCTATCAGGTAATTGTAATTCATATGTGTTGAAACTCATTCTTCAAATATATAGCAAAAAAATGTAGTTTTTATGGCAAAATTAATTTACAGATTATATATATATAGTATATATTATAAAGTATATATACAGCACTATTGTTTAGCATTTTGTAAGTCCATTATAAATACAATGCTATTTTTTTCAGGCAGTAATTAAAAATCACTATGGGTTTGATTAAAACAAAACAATGGAAATCTATTGATTAACATCTTAGATAACCATCAAATTGTTTGCATTTATGTATGTGGTGTAAGAGAGAGAGAGAGAGAGAGAGAGAGAGAGAGAGAGAGAGAGAGAGAGAGAGAGAGAGAGAGAGAGAGAGAGAGAGAGAGAGAGAGAGATGTTTTATATAGTATTTTATAACTAATGTTATAATCCCTGATCTATTTGTTGTCCAACAGTTTCTCTATTTTTAAAAGAGTCTGTCAATGAAATTAAATATCTATTATATGTAATAAACAGTATTTATTAAATTATAAGCTTTAAGTAAATTTATGATAAGTTAAATAAGTTTTAATATCAAATTATTTTTTAGTTGTTTTTTCAAATATTATAAGTAAATGTTTTTTTTGAACATCTATAAAGTGYGATATACACCAACAATAAGCAAAATTTTGCTACTTATGGAGTTATACTGTATTTTTTGAACAGTTATGTAGTGTGTGTTTGTGTGATGATCTGATAATAGTATAGTTTAGTGGGAAACTTGACCTAATATTTAGCACAGGACTAAAATAAGAGAGTGAAAGTGTGTTTGTTATACATTTTGTTTCATAAAATTTATATAATACTGTATAATATTGCCACAAGCATTGTATTTACTAATGTTTGTATGTAGTACTGTATATACCCTACAATAATTGTATTGCGTGTGTATCCGTATGTTAAATGTTGATTGAAAATCAAGTTTTTATAATGCAAATAAAATGCTTATCTAATAAATTATATTATAAATAACACCTCAAGCGCATTAAAAACCAGAGAGAGAAGAGAGAGAGAGAGAGAGAGAGAGAGAGAGAGAGAGAGAGAGAGAGAGAGAGAGAGAGAGAGAGAGAGAGAGAGAGAGAGAGAGAGAGAGAGAGAGAAGAGAGAGAGAGAGCAATTTTTTCAGAGAGAGAGAGAGAGAGAGAGAGAGAGAGAGAGAGAGAGAAAGAAAGAGAGAGAGAAAAAAAAAGAAAGAGAGAGAGAGAAAGAAAGAGAGAGAGAGAGCAATTTTTTCAAAACGGTATATAATATTTGTGGATTAAATCTGATTATAAAATATTACATTAATTATTGAAATCAATATATTAATCAATTACTTGATTATAAAAGTTATGATTCCCATGATTTTTCATGGCTTATTGTATTTTAGTTATTAAAATTGTAGCATTTATTTCAATTTACAAACTTAGTTATTTTAATTTTAAATATTTAATCTTATTTACATTGTAAAGGTATGCATTTATCTTTTTAAATTTATGTATTTGTATGTATGTATGTATGTGTGTGTATGTGTGTGTATGTGTGTGTATGTGTGTGTATGTGTGTGTATGTGTGTGTATGTGTGTGTATGTGTGTGTATGTGTGTGTATGTGTGTGTATGTGTGTGTATGTGTGTGTATGTGTGTGTATGTGTGTGTATGTGTGTGTATGTGTGTGTATGTGTGTGTATGTGTGTGTATGTGTGTGTATGTGTGTGTATGTGTGTGTATGTGTGTGTATGTGTGTGTATGTGTGTGTATGTGTGTGTATGTGTGTGTATGTGTGTGTGTGTGTATGTGTGTGTATGTGTGTGTATGTGTGTGTATGTGTGTGTATGTGTGTGTATGTGTGTGTATGTGTGTGTATGTGTGTGTGTGTGTGTATGTGTGTGTGTGTGTGTGTATGTGTGTGTATGTGTGTGTATGTGTGTGTATGTGTGTGTATGTGTGTGTATGTGTGTGTTTCAAAGATAAAGAGAGAGAGAGAGAGTTAATTTTTTAAATTTAGAGAAATATCGTAGCAATAGATTTAATACATTTTTATACTGTATACATGTAAGTTAAAATTTGATATAATTTATCAGGAAAATAAAAACAAAAAAATTAATGAATTATTTCTCTCGAAATCATTAATATTTTATTTATTGTTATCTTTTCTTAAAATCATTAGAAAAAATGTTATTTTTTTTGCAAATTTTTTAGTTTTAAAACAAATTACAGTATATGTAATAATTATATTTTTATATACTATGCAGTATATCAAACATACAGTAAATGCAACATTTGTCGTGCATTTGACTGACAACTGGTAATAGTTGTGACAAACGTCATGTCAGCTACTGGTGCGACCATTTCATTCAAAATATAGTATAATCTCATTGCGATTGAGAGATGAGATATGAATTACTTATAATTAATGAAGACCTTATTTTTATTATATATATATTATTATTATTATTGCAAAACCAGAAAATTGTATGAAATTTGTATAAATATTGTAATAACTTTTTTTTAAATAATTGGATACTCATGAATATTTCTATTATATAATAATTAGGATATTTTTATAAGTTTTATAAGTGGTATATACTAGACATCTCTCAAAATCTTTCATAAATAATTTTTCTCACATTAGGAAACCATTCAAAAATCTAGATTTTTTAGATGTCATATTATATTTAGTAAAAATGATATTAATGACAAATAATATGATAAACTTATTATAATACCTATTATTTTAGATTTTGATAACTTAATATAAATATTATAATTTTAATTATCTTATTTAAATTATTATCTATTTGTTTGTCAAATTTATATACATATATGTATAATAGTAGTTTTAAAATTGTCAGTAAATATTGGGTCAATAGTAAAAAATATAGATAATATAAAGTAAACAATGTAAATTTTAAACTTATTTTTTAATAAAAAATATTTTATACTCGAATTTATTATTAATATATTATAATTAAATAATAAGTATTGACTTAATAAAACAATACTAAAATATTATTAAATTT